TCAGAGAGCACTGAATGTCTGGTGCTTTATAGGAAGACTTTAAATTCTCTGGTGAAAAGAGTCGCTTTGGTGTCTTTCAGAGAAAACGCCTTGATTCTTAAAATTGTGCCTGGCCTTGGTCGATCCACAGCCCTGTCAATCCAGATGAGACTGTTCCTAAGAGTTTGTTCCTTCAGGATGGAGGGAGGAAGGAGGGAAAGTAAGGAGGAGTGAGGAAAGACCACAAAGAGGAAGGCCACAGTGAGCCTAACAGGGAACAACCTTAGCTGGGCTTCTGAGTGTCCCAAAGGTCCACATATACCCAGGGACAGCGTCCTTCTAGCATGACTTAAAAATAGGCTACCTCTGCCAGGTCTTTACTGACATTGCTAAAACTAAGATGCGGAAGCAGCTTGGTTTCTCTATGGCTTAATCCCATTAAGTTTGGGGGAAATGGTGCTAATAAATGGTTTGCCTCAGAGCACTGTCTGGGACTATGTCTTTTCTCTTGAGGCTCTAGAGCCCTAGACTGAAGCTCAACAGTAGTCAGTTTTGGTTGTTCCTGCTCTGGGGAAGAAAAGGAAGCCATCATCCCTCCAAGGTAAGCTTGTGAGACTGACACCACTGGGGCCTGAAGCCCCACCCACCCTGTCTTCTCTGTGCTGGGGCCTGAAGTCCCCCCCCCCCACTGTCTGTGCACTGCCCTGGGGCCTGAAGCCACCCCTGTCTGCTCTGCCCTGGGGCCAACCACATTACAAACTTGGTTTGGGGGATCACTCCATTCATCCTATTGGCTAATTGATGCACAAAGAACAAATCTAATGTAATTGCCATAACAAAGCCATTATGCTTGGCCAAAGACCAGCCTCTTAAAGGAAACCTCACCATCCAGACATCCAGGTGCCCAGTTTGCAACTGCTACTTATGCATCGTCTTGTGGAGGATTCAGCGACTCTGTTCTTTGTGGGCTGGTGATGTGGCAAGGGAGCTGTTTGTAGAGCCCTCATTTCTCTGAGCCAGTTCTACTCCTTCCTAACAGTTGAGGACCCTGTTGGCTGTTCTCAGCTGTTCTCGCAAGCCTCTATTTGCGTCATCACCTGTGCTGTGGTTTAGAACCACAGGCTAACCTGTTGGCCGTAGAGGTAGTCTCCTCTTACACCCTGTGTTTGCGTCATCTTTCACGCCTCCACTCTAGCAGAAGTGTTAAATGACTGACCTCCATACTGCTACTGCTGGTTGTCGTCAAAGTCCCAAGAAGGAGGATTCCATTTAGCCCTAGCCTTCCAGGCCCAGGGTTCTTAAAGGGTCAGTGGGTTTCTAAGGGAGCACTAGGGACTGAGAAGAACGGAAGTGAAAGCTTTCATGACAACTACTAAGGTGTTGCCGGTGTGCCTAAGCCCATTTAAACAGTGGCCCCAGGAAAGTGGGATACTTTTGGCAGTGTGGTATCATCCAAGCACTTTCTAAAGCGCAGATGAGATGTGAGAGGACAAACGCCGCCAACTGCTTTTCTTTGGAAGGCCTGTGTTCTTTTCATGTCTTGCTTCATAGTCAGCCTTCAGGGCGGCCTGCCCTACCCTCCTTTCAAGACCCAGAGTCCCATACCTCTTGTCATCATGCCACACAGTCCCTCTGCCCAATCCACAGTGGGCATCTCATCCTCTCCCTGCTTCATGGTAAACCCCTCAGGACAAAGGCAGGGCTGGGCGTAGTATCCTGGTGTGTCAGACTCAAGACAGAAAATGACAGTTGAATGAGTGAGTTGGGAAAATGAATGGTAACTGAGACCTGTGCAGGGGATAGTCTAGGAGCAGAGGCTTACATAGTTGGGGTGTCGGTGGATATGCTCCTAAATCTACAAGTCTGCATAGTTGTCTGCAGTGATAGCTATGTATCCACAGAACATTTGCGTCAAAGGGGAAGGCTACAGCTGTTGGCAGACTCAGAGAGTGTAGGGAGTGTACAAGAATTAGATTTTATGTATAAATACACATTTACAGAGGGAGAGAGATGTGGGAAACAAAGGGTGGGAAACAAAAACTGTGAGACAAAGAGGGAACTTTATATATAGAAGCAGAGTAAAGGAGAAGAGAGGAAGAATATGAGAGCGGGGCTGGAGAGATGGCTCAGTGGCAAAGATTCTCTCTGCTCTTCCAAAGGTTCTGAGTTCAGTTCTCAGCACCCACATGGCAGCTTTCACCTGTCTGATCCCTCTTCTGGTGTACTCATATACATAAAATACACAAATAAATAAATCTTAAAAATGTATATATGAAAGAAGGCAAGTGAGGTGGGGCTCTCACTCTGGAACAAATTCTTTACACTGGCGCTATACAAGACCTTGCCGTGGCCACTGCCAGTGGCCTGGCGAGCAGCCAGGCATGGTCGCCCGTCACAAAAGGAGGCTGTCCTGGCCCGCTGTAATTTAGGGTGAGCAGAATGAAGTGACCCCAGAGACATTGCAATGCAGCCATTTGTTTGTGCACAGGAAGGGAGAGTGTACACTGAGGAGGAAGGAAGGGAAGGCATAGGTGGCTTCCCGTGGGCGGGTCCTGTTTCCTTTTATCCTTAGTACATGGGCCAGGCTTGGGGGTGAGCAGGTGAACACTCAGATAAGAAATGAGTGCGAGTGAAGCCACTGATCTAGGAAAACAGGAGAGCACCTGACTGCAAGACAGTTACAAACACAAACCAGGAAGGAGCCCCCCAGAGGCAAAAAGACTCAGTAGAGAAACAACTGGGTCCAAAAGAGATTGGGGAAAGACAATCACAGTATACTGAAGTCTTGAGGCAAAAAATAAATGCCTCTGTTGTCTGTAAATATTCCTCAGCTGACACCTCTACGCATCCTGACGGAGCAGTACTTGCCCTGGACAGAGGCTGTGCTGGGGTGAACCGGTGGGGTCCAGACACTGCACTGCTGTTGCTGTTCTGAGATCCCTGAGATTATGAACTCACAGAACACAAAGAAGCTCGAAGTTCAGTGTGTGTGTGTGTGTGTGTGTGTGTGTGTGTGTGTGTGTTGCCTGGTCCCATCTTGCTTTGTTCTGGAGTTAGCAGGAAAGCTTTCCCACTTTTAAAAAGAGCACTACCTCTATGGCCAACAGGTTGGCCTGTGGTTCTAAACCCATAGCACAGGTGGAGACGAAGATGGAGGCTTGCGAGAACAGCCGACAGGGCCGGGAGAAGAACTAATTACAGCCCTGTTCTTGCCTGCAGGAACTCTTTAGCAAGCACTTTTCAGGAAAGCTGGATGTAGCTGAGTTTTTCCAGTGATGACCATCACTCTAAACTGGGCCACGGTGCTGGCCTTGACTGTCTTCCTAGAGTGACTGACCGTGGGGTGTCCCTGGAGTTCAGCAAGGGACATGGAAGTCTGCTGCAGGGGTCTCTGAGGGATGGTATCTGCCCGAGGGGACCTCTACTGAGTGAATCCACCTTCATTCTTATTTTGTTGGCTGGGATTAGAACATGTCTACAATATTTTAGGTATTTCTGACAGGATTGATCCTAAACAAGAATGTAAAGCAGGGAAATTTAACCCTTATTATCACCTTCGCCTGGCATTTCCTCTTCTCTTTAGTTGTCTTTATTTCCCTGTTTTTCCCAGTTACGCTGATGTACCTAGAACTCCAGAAAGTTCCAGAACTTTCTGGCAAAATCTATTTTTTTTAAACGTTTTCACCATGCTGAAGTGCTCAAAGTAAAATTGATTAACAATGTCATGATCTAAACAATGACTTCATCTTGCTCTTCCTAAACACAAAGTACCTTTGATGAGTGAGGCCCTCGAACCTTTCCTGTGCCTCTTCACTTCCACTTACTCAGTCCTTCAGTCAAATCTCTTTTTCTTCTATCATATTTCACAGAAGTCTATCTCAGCCTGAGATTGCAAAGTTATTATAATCCAAAAGTCTAACAGCACCTGCCTTCCCTCTCAGAGCTACTTGGCTCTTCAGAGAATGAGTGAGCCCATAGCCACACACTGTGGAGAAAACAGTGCTGCACAGGTTGAGAGGACTGATAGGGTCTGCCAGGGAGAAGATAATGACATACACGTGGCCACCCTCACCCCAGCTCCTGAAATAATGACTCTGAGACCTTATTATTTATGAACAAATGCTTAGACCAAAAGTTTGGGCTCAATCCTGACCAGCCCAGAACTTATAACTTATTTTACCCATTTATTCTTTTTTTTTTTTTTTTTTTTGGCTTGTCAAGACAGATTTTGCTGTGTAGCCCTGGATGTCCTATACTCACTTTGTAGACCAGGCTGGCTTCAAGCTCACAGAGATTCACCGGCTTCTGCCTCCTCAAGAGCTGGGATACAGCAGGGGCAAAGGCCACTGTGCCCAGCTTGTTTATTCTATTATATGTGTGCGGCATGGCTGGTTACCTCACCTTAGAGTCCAGGACCAATCTCTCTCTGACTCTATCCTAGCGTTCATCTCTCTCTGCCAGAACTCCAACTTCCTGTTTCCTACCTCAGCTTTTTATAGACAGGTGATGCTTTCATGCAGTATATAAGAGGTTCTCTCTACACGTGCATTCACAGGCTGGCGGGGGTCTGTCTTCCTCGAGGGGCCGGGGTTGTAACCACAATAGGCCCTACTTGTCTCTGAGCCTAGGGATGGTCAGTCATCTAACATGTGAGAGGTCCTGAGAATAGCAACCTCTCCTGGCACTTGTTAGGAATACACCCTCAGTCCTGTCCCTCCCCCAAGCATGGCTCAACTATTAACACAACTGTTGAGAGCTCCTTTACACGTATAACACATCAGAGGCAGCAGTATGGGCTTTTCTGCCAGTTGGCACTACCGAGGGTGTCATTGGTGGAGAGCAAGTTCAGAGGGCCTGGCTTCTACCACGGACTTCACATCCTGTCCTGTAAAAGGCTCAGGGACAGACAGTGCTCCAGCAGAGCAAAGGGCCCTTCCCCTTACTCCAGCATCTGACTCTTGATAGAGCTACTGTTGGCTTGAACTGTTTCCATATCACAACCCTGCTGCTTCTTTCCCTAGGCTATCTACAAAATGGTTTCCTCTGTCATGAAAATGCCTGAAGATGAATCAACCCCAGAAAAAAGGACAGAGAAGATCTTCCGCCAGATGGACACCAATAGAGATGGTAAGAGGCTAAAGGGCTTTGCTTGGATCAAGCTTCTGGTGGAGTCTGGGCAGGGTGGCTCTATGGAAGGACCAAATGTCAGCCGCAGGGACCTTATGCACAGTCATATATGACAACCACCTATGCTGGGCGGGAAGGAATAGAAGTGGGTAGATCCTGGAGCTGCTCCCAGTCTAGAGCAAAGACCTTATTTTCTAGGCCCTTCTAGCTTTCTCCTAAGTTAGTTTTCCCCAGAATAGGATGGGTCCTGTGGAGCAGAAATAAAAGGACCCAAGAAGCCACTGAGGTATGATGGGCCTTTTCTTAGGCCAGAGTATGGAGATGTGTCTGCTGTTTCTTAAAGACCCCAACAGCTTTTATCCCAGCCTGCCTGAGTGATCTTATGGGCAGACTCTATGATGCTGTGTCCAAGTGAAACCTCAGACAGTGGGAAGCAGGTTGGAGTGGTCTGCTGGTTCCCACTGGGTGAGGGTGCTGCCTGGGTGCGAAGTGCGGCTAGCAGGTGCACAAACCAAAGACCGCTTGGTGACACAGGAGGACCACAAGTCTGACGCTATCTGCAAAATTAAATAAATAGATATGGTTTCTGCATGTTGGGCTAGCAAGTAGGATACAGGATCCCCAGGCAATTGAGAAATAATGACTTCTTTATAGCATCTCTCTCTGTGCAATATTTGAGACATACATATGCTAAGTAATTGATCGTTATTCAACTGAAATTTAAAGTTATTTTAGAATCATTATTTTTATTGCCAAATCTTGAAATGCTATTCAGAAATAGTTCCTGAGTTTACAGTGCTAAGTCAAGGCCTACCATTGATGACCCAGTGCTGCCAAAAGCTTCACAGCTCTTTAAACAAACATGTATTTCTTTATTATTTACATGCATGTATGCTTGTACCTGCACACCTGTGTGAGTTTATATGCATGTATCACACGCATGCAGAAATCTGCAGAGATCATAAGAGGGTATACACTTCCCTGGAACTGGAGCTGCAGGTGGTTGTGATCTGCTCAACATGAATGCTGGAAATCAAACTGGTCCTCTGCTCTTGACTGCAGAGCCATCTCTCCAGCCAACTCATTTTTAAAACATAAAACTCATTTTAATATTACAGTGTAAAATTTTGCAAGTATTATTACATGACATGTATGAGTGTGCCATGGTGCACACATGCAGAAGACATGTTTATTAAGTTCGTTTTCCCCCACTTTCCTTTACATAGTTTCCAGGGATCAATTCAGATCATCAGGTTTACACATCACATACTTCTATTCACCGAGACAGCTCACTAGCCCCAGATCCTCACACCTGATGTTTAATAATTCTAGTGAGCTGTGTACAAATAGACCAGGTCCTTTGTGGTGTGTATGATAGCATGTTCTGCATAGAATAAGCCTCCTTTTACCCCCACACGTGGGGCAACAGCTCCCTGAGAATCTTGGTTTGCGTGGCACAAGCCAGCTTGTTCACTGCTTGAAGTTGCCTCCATGAAGTTGCCTGACATCCTCTGAGAGCCTGTTTTCCCTCATGTGCCTTGATTCACAGCACATAGTTTGTTTCACAAAGTTTAAACAAACATGGGATTGTTTTTATGACATTGAACCACAGGTTTTGGTCATCTGGGGAACATGATGGCTTTCAGACCCAGCCTCTTCCTTAGAGGAGGACTAAATGATGGGGGGAAGACACTTCCGGATATTTGGCTCAAGGCAATGGCAGAGCCTCTCCACTGGGACTGTTTCTACGAAATCAAAGAGCTCTGCCTGGGCCCTTGCCCAATGCACAGCCAACTACTACTGCCCTGGGCTTTGATAAGGAAAGATGTGTTTAAACAAGGAAGGCTATGGGGATAGAGGCAGTGAGGGCAGGAGGGCAGGGGACTGCTGAGCACCGGAGAAACACACTGCTTGAGCTCAGGTCTTGGCTTCAGGGCTTCTGGCCTGAGCCTCCTGTCCTTTCTCACTTGGAGCAGAGCTGGCGTGGTGTGAAGCCTGCTGCCACCAGAGTCTCCTTAGATAAAGGTCTTTGCAGCCCACTGCTGGCCTCTGCCAGCACCTACAAGCAAGTCAATCTGGGAGTCTGTGCAAGAGGCAGAGTTCATATGGGGTACCAAGTTCTCTACAGCTTGTGGTGCCCGATGCCTGTGCTTGTGCCTGCAGCTTTAAAGTGTTTAGATGCTGCTTCCAATCCCGTCCCCTCATTCTCGTCCTGCAGGGGCTGAGCAGGTTGCACGGAGGAGCAGCTAAGGAGGTACTGAAGCGCACAGGCCTGGAGGAGCCTGGCAGCCTCGTGTCTGTCTTTGGAAAAACAGATGGGGCTAAATCTGCAGGGAAGGAGAGAGGGCAAAGTTAGGTAACGGCTCCCAACAGTTCTAATTCCAACTTATCAGTCAATGAGTCACTTCACTCAAAGGGTCACCATGGAAGTGCCAGGAACGAGGAAAGGCCCCCACCCCCATTTCTCCAAAGTGATAGTGACAGAGACCTTTACTGGCGGAAAGTTGAGGAGGAAGGATACCGAAGATCCAGGAAACTGAGGAGCCTGAGGTAAAAGGAAGCTTGGGCTACACAGTAGAGTCCATGTCAAAAAAGAAGAAAGAAAGCCGTCTGGTGAGAGATCCAGGTTCTTGGCTTCCTTCTCAAGCCGCCTGGGTTGACAGAAGTGTATCACCTTCTGTCTAGAACACACTCCTTTATCCTCCCGACTTTGGATGATGGTGGTGCTATCCTCAAAAAGTTGTTAAAAAGAACCTACACTCCTGCTCTGCCCACTGGGAGTGGGGTGGGGGAGGAGTCTTCTGCAAACCGGAATACAGCAGTACACAGAGGCTGAAGGGCCCGAGCCTGGCACATGCAAACGAGCTAGGGCTACTCAGTCCTCAGAAGCTGAGCATGAGCACAGGGGCTCGAGGAGTGGGGTGAGGCCCCAGTATAGGTAGAGGCAGAAGAGCCACTAGGGCAAAGATTCAGGTCAGGGTAAGCCAGTACCCTCCCCAGGCCCTGGGTTCTGTCCTGGAGGTCTTGTTAAATGGCCCTGTGTACCGAGCCAGGTGCGGGAATGCCATGGTAAACCGAGAATTGGGGTCCCTGCCTCCTGGTCTCCTGGCTTCTGCTGGGTGAAGCTGTGGGCTTCTGCTGTGCCCCGTGTGCAGTGCAAAGGACCACAGGCCGCCACTCATTGGTCCTCTTGCCTTCTAGGAAAACTCTCCCTGGAAGAATTCATCCGAGGGGCCAAAAGCGATCCATCCATAGTGCGTCTCCTGCAGTGTGACCCCAGCAGCGCCGGCCAGTTCTGAACCCCGCACCCTAAGGACGCTACAGCTGCCTGTGTCTCTCCCAGTTGGCTTTTAAACTTATTTTGTTTGTATTTTTTTTTTTTTTTTTTGCCAAACAATATTGATGGTGAAGCTGTCCCCTCTTCAGTCAGATGCGCTCTGCTGTGACACCCTTGCCCCTTGCTTCTTTCGTCGTGGACGTGAATGCCCAGAGCGCTTGTGGAGAGCATGAACAGACTTCGTGGTGTTCCCTGTTGGATGACTTTTTAATCATCATTACTTTTTTCCCTTTGATTCTAATGTGTCTGTCTTAAAACCCAAGACTGGAGGGGCCAGAGAAAAGAATTCCATTCCGCCCCTGAGATCCTTCAGCAAGCTTTGAGGGGTTTTGTTTGAAAGACAAAACTCCTAATCTGGGTGTGTTGTCACGCATGCCCTCAGGGCTATGGCGGGCACCTGAGGCTAGGTTTTCTAAGAACAGGTTACCCTCTGGGGTAAAGCTATTAAAGCCAGCTGGGACATTCCCCTCCACCCCAGCAGGCTGTAGTTTCTAAACTGTGAACATTACAAGGTAAATTAACAGAGATGGGGAAAGAACTCAGAGGTTCCCCCACCCCACAGGTTTACAGAGTTGAGCTAATATGAGGCCCTTTGAAAAATCAAACACAGATGGTAACATTCTAAAACCAGACCCATCTTGCTACCTACTTGTGATTTATAAAAAGACTGCCGTATATAAAATATTGGGTATTGCAGACCAAATTAAGTGTTTTGCCTTGTAAATGCATGTTTAGTGAGCGCTAATGCAATCTTACTACAGAAGACTTGTCTTAGCAGTTTTTTGTGAAGCCAACTACAACGAATGTCAGTGTCTTGTTTTAAAGTCCTGTCTTTGCACAAATGTACCAGTCAACAAGTGTATTTTATATACTCCATAAAATTACAAAAGAATGATGACAAGGGCCCAGCTTTGATTTCGAATGGTTTTACAGAGTCGAGGTGGCCAGAGGAAGGCAGTTTCCAAGCATCTTGTCCACCAGCAGCTCTGAGAAGGGGCCAAGGCCCAGCAGCGCACTGGCAGTGAATGCAGGTGTGCTGTCTTTCTAAGCAGGTGAATGTTCCGTAGACTCGGAAAAGCAGGTCCTTCCTAACAGTGTAACCTACGTCCTCAGTGGGGGAGCCACGCCTAGAATCTTCTTTTTTCCTGCCCCCACGTATCTTTCATGTAGTCAGGTGTGGGCCAGCCAGGCCATTCACCCACCCACTGTAGGTGCCAGCTAGGGAGCCTGCAGTGTCTGAGGCCAGCTGTGGGACCCAACAGCACTCCCCTTCACCGTGTTATTTGAATCTAGCAAAACTGAGTTGTTGCTTGGGCTGGTCACCTCATATACACTACTTTGAAATAAGGGTTGGAAGCAAAAACTTCTGGCTACAGGCAACCAAAGCCTCACACACAGTGGCATCAACAAGGCCCAGACACTCAAGAATGTTGGTGGCAGAATCTGCCTAAGAGGAGTCAGGAAGGTCTCTGCTGCCTGTAGCCACTTCCTGTAGAACAAAACCGCAAAAATACAGCTGTAAGGAAAATGATGCCCAGACGATTCCTGCCAGGCCGAAGGTCCCCCCATGGCGATACACTTAACTGGCAGAAGTTCAAACTTTAATGGTGTCTCCATAGGTTGAAATTTTGTGACCTAGATTTTGTAATCTTAATTTTTCCTAGTATCATTTCCTTACCTTTTGTAGCAAGGCTTGCCAAATCCTGTGAGCCAAATGGCAAAGTCTGTTTTTGGAAAGCAGAATTAACCCAAGTTGGGATGGAAACCAGAGGTGGCCTCCAGCTCTTCAGAATTCAAGAGCCAGATGCACAGGTTATGAACCCTGCAGTCCCCAGAAGGCCTGGAGAGCTCCAGATCAGCTAGACACACAGACATAACAGACCTATCTGTATGTTTCCTCCTCTTTTCCACCTCTCCCAGGAAGGCATTGGGTGTCATTTTATGCATGCATGTTTGACCAACGAACTTCACAGCATCGGGAGGGCCGAGTGCCTGAAGACATCTGTCACTCCTGTGGCCAGGCAGTGCTTGTGCTGTATTCAGGGGCCTCTGGTGGAGGTAGAGCCTATTTTGTTCTAAGTAAAGGAAGTCTGTGCTGTCCATAGGACTGGAGGACGTTTCAGAGTGCTTGACTGCTCATACCTCGCTTAGGATGGAGAAGGGATGGTGTGGTACTCCCCAGGGGACTTTCTACAAGTGGATTTAATAATATATATGTCATATTATGTGGAGTGGTCCCATTCTCAGTTGATTGTGTAGCTCTTGCCTGGCATTAAAGCATGTTTATTATTTAATATCATTGTCTGGAGCATGAGATTTTTTTCTTACTAAGCTGCCTCAGCTGACGGTGTCTTGTGTCTTCCAGGTTTGAGGGTGGAAGAGTTTGAAAGCAGTTCTGGTCCATGTGTGGCTTCCTTACTTCCTCTCAGCTTGGCCTCCACTCCCTCCCACTTTGTGTTTCTCCAAACATGAAGCACCAAAGCAAAACTCAGAAAAACTCCTCAGTAGGATCAGGGAAGCACTCAGGAAGCAAAGCAGGCAGATCTGTAAGTTCAAGGCCAGACTGGTCTATGTAGTGAGTTCTAGAACTCCCAAGGGTACACAAAGAAATCCTGTCTCAAAAACCAACCAAACTAAAAACAAAACAAAACAAAACAAAACAAAACAAAAAAACAAACAGCAATATAATCCTTTCCCTTCCCACTCTGTTGGAGATTTAGTGGGAGAGATAACTAAATGTTCCACCCCAAAGCCATCACATCAAGCTTTTCTTGTCTTGTTCCTATCACTGGCCTTGACTGCAGCCCCAAAGGTTAATGCTGTATGAACAAGAGCTACTAACTTGCTCCCTAGATTAGGAGCTACAATAGGCTCCTCACAGGCCAGCTAGACCTTTGGGGTGCAAATGTGGAGGAGAGTCTTTTCCTCCTCCACAGTTAGTTTCTGTGTGTAAGCAATATCTGAAACACAACACGTAATCCATGAGGTGATGAAGGGAATGTGGCCAGAGCCCTGAGGAGCCTGTATACCTACAACTTAACCATTTCCCCACTTTTGTAGCATCAATATGCCTGTTGCCCGAGAATCTTCTGTACTGAGGGTTAACGTGTGGTGCATGGTTCCAGACAGTCCTCGGGTGCAGGGATAGTGACCATCAGGAGCTAACTAGTGGGCAGCTTGGAGCACCCAGGCCATGAGAAGGCTTAGCTCTATGAATTTCCAGGGAATATCTGATATTTTAGTATTTCTCTGTGACAAACAGTAAAAACACTCTAAGGTACAATGCAGCTAGACTTCCCAACCCCACTTAGTTAAATATTCACTACTATGCCCAAGATTGGGCCCATAAACATTCTAACACGGGTGGGATTTGGGGTGGGGGGTAGGGACAGGGGAGAGATTCCACCCCTCCCTGAGGAGGAAGGGAGACACTTTCCTCAGCGGCGTAACTTGGTGTAACAGTGGTACTAAGTTGCCATGCTCCTCTAAATAACTTTCTCCCCATGCTCACATAAGCAACTCTAAACTCATTGAGTACACACACACACACACACACACACACACACACACACACACACGGTGCACATGGAAACGTGGGAGACATGTGAAAGGGGCCTGGTTAGGAAAAATGAAGGGATCAGCAAGAGTGGAAGGGGAACAAACCAGAGTAATGAGGTATGAAAATGACCAAATCATACATGTGTGTAAATATCTAAATTAGTATATTCTAATAAAAATCCTCACCAGTACACACCGCCTCCAGGAAGACAGGCAAATGGCCAGTCAGACCTCTCGCTGAACCTCAATAGCAGCATCTCATCATTTGGCTGGACTCATGCTGAGTGTTTGATGGAGCCCCCAGTCAGCATAAGTGTGGCAGGCTTGGAAGTGCATATGTGAGCTGGAGAGGCCTTGTCAGCAAAGGAGATGGCTGGAGGGGAATACCTAACTCAAGATCAAATACCACTATAAACACGTCATGGGGAATGGGAAATGTTCTTTCCCAAGTACCATGTGATGGATACTGATGCCCAATGAACATGGGTGGTGTTCACCCTTGGTGTCTTTTCACATCTCTCTTCTCTGCCTCTGGCTCATCAGAGGCCCCCAAATTCTTGACTTCCCAGTATTAACCATGGACCCATTTAGAGTTGCTTAGGAGTACAGAGCTGAAGAACCCTTTGGAACAGATGGAATATGTCACCAAAAATCTCCACCAGTTTGGGGAGCTTGGGGAGGGGGAGGAGGGGATAAGTGTAGTTCACTGATGTCCAAAAGGAAAGGGAGATGTGATAACACTCACATCCCCCCAAACGACCCATTCAGGCAGGTATGAAGAACAATCAGACTCAAAGATGAGGAAGGACATGGGTAGCAATAAAAAAAGACCATGGCCCATTTCTAATTACATGATCTTTCCAGAAGTTTCCGTAATAAACACCCTCCTTCCACCCCAGGCCTGTTCTTCCCTAGCGCTGATCTGAGCACAAAGAGCAGGGATCCCACTGGGGGTGAGGCCAGGGAAGGCTTTTTTGAGGCGAGATTTTAGTACTGTGCCTTAGAGAAGGGTGCTGTAGAAAATGCTAGCATTCTGCCTCTTGGAATGGCTGCTCCTGGAGATCACTGACGATACCAGCTGGAGCAGTGTGAATGCTGCATAATGTGGTGGCTAGCACAGGAGCCCCAGTATGGGCTTTCAAGGGGCAGACAGCGTGGAGACGGTACTCAAGTAGGAGCCGTGTGGTTTCAGCCTCTCCGTAGCGGTTGGCACAGATCTAATGAAGCAGAAATAACCACAAAGTGCCAGAGAGAAGGGAATGGGAAGAACCCACCTGAGAGGCCAGTCAAGGGCAGCTGTGCTGGCAGCCACACTGGAGGCCTCTTGTTGCCCTTTGGCCCTCTTCTTTTGCCAGCCTGGCATAAGGAGGAGGGAGAGCACTGGTAGGCAAGTCTCCACCATATGCAGGACTAGAGGGGCAGGAACAGCCAAGACCCCAGGCTGGTGACTCTTCCTCACACCAGCAGCCACTGCCCAGAAAGCAGCAGACACAACTGTTGGACTCATATTGTGAATATTTATTTTTTTCTTCTTAAAAATGTACAAAAAATAAAATAACATATTTATAGTTTATAGATTCCCCTCTCCCATTTACAAAACTATTAAGTTACATTTACTCTTTTTTTTATGTGGGAGTAGATTGTACACAAATCAGTCTCCCCTTGTTTGTCTTTCAGAAAGGGCCATTCTTAGAATTTGGCACAAACCCTCTTTTCCTGTTGCATGAAAAATAAATGTTTTAACTCATTTCATGCTTCCCAGGTTTCTGCTTTGGGACATGCCTTAGTCTTTTAGGACTGATTTCAAGATGGCAGCCCATTGTGTATTTTTGTTGTTGTTGGTTCCAATTTCTAAACACTGAGGAAGTTTCAGTGGGGACGTAGAATGAAAACACCTGCTTCATGTGTTCCCCAACCTTTTATGGATTACAAAAAAAAGAGTTTGGGTGTGGTTAATTCGGGGACAAAGGAAAGACAAGCTTTTCTATCTTGCTGGAGTGTTTTTGTTCAGGAAATGATGCTCAGCAAAGCTCTGCTAATGCAGCGATGGACAGATGCAGAGAAGTCCACCAACAGACACTCCTGGACCTGCCGCTGTACCCCTCTTTGTGGTCCTGGCTTCATGTCCCTTGTTCTGGCTACCACAAGGACTGTAGTGACTCAGGACAAAGGCAAAGCCATCTCTGGCTGGTCCTCTGCCTCGGGGGAGACAGGCAGTTTCCCAGAAACCGAAGAGAAGAGCTGGGAGCCAGTCAGGTCGCTACAGATCTGTCTCCTTGGAATCCTGAGCCACCCTAAGGTCTGCCATTCATGGTTGGAGCTAACCCCAACTGCTGTAGCATGGGAAGCGCATAGAGCATGTATTTCCAACACTGAGTTTGTCTGCCTTAGGTCAGAGCCCTGCTAGTACCCTAGAGGGTCCCCAAGCTGCTGGTTCAGCAAGTGATGTGGGGTGGAGCAGAGGACTAAGCAGAGCCGAGCCCAGGATACAAACCTTTGGCAACACAGAGGAATTCGGAGCCCAGTGGGTCTCAGAAAGGTGCCCCTGCTATTCTTTGGATCCTCTTGGTCATAGCACCTACTCTCCAGCCCATTCCTCTGCAGCTTTGGGTAGCTAGGCTAGAGTCAGCCTCGGCTGCTCGGGCCCTCAGGGGAAGGTGGGGCAAGAAGGCAGGAGCTGGAGAACAGAGCCTCCAGGTAAGACATCAAAGTGCTTCATAGACAAATTTGGACCTTTCCACAGAAGCTGCCCCATTATCCAGGCTTTGGGGTGGGATGTGCCTGACTATCTGAACTAGTGCTCAGCCCACAGTGTAACAAGAAAATCCCCAAGCTACCAACCTGTCCTCTCAAAGAGAACTGAGGCTCACCATGGGCATGCTGTTCAGGAAAGCCGTTTTCTCTTGCCCTCCCAAGGGCCAGGAGAGGAGGAAACAGCCTTAGCTCTCCAGTGTGCCTCTCAAAGCCAGTCTCAGAACTGCCAGAAATCGCACGCTTTCCACAGCCAGGGTGGACAGCCTCACTCTTCCCATCTTCAGAAGCCAGAGGAAGCAATGTTTGCTGTCACAGCCCAGTCGAGCTGCTGGCTCACTTCGCAAAGCTGCAGCTGGGTTTGCAAAAGGGCCACTTGAGATGAAGGACATGGTTGTAAACTATGAGCCACCGCAGTGTCCAGCATCCCCAGGTATGCCAAGCAGTTCTGCAGCAGGCCCCAGGGATAGGGCCCCAGTGCAAACCCTTGCGGAAACTTTGCATTAGCTTCAAGGTGTCTCACTCCAGTGCTAAAGAAGGCACTGACAGCACGGTCTTTCCTGAACAGCTCAAAGGACACCCTTAGACAACAGATCACCATGAAACAAAATGTGATGGCCTCAAGGGAGAGTCATGTCTGAGGGGAGAGGGCTCCATTTGGGAAAACAAGTCCTCAGCATGGCTCAGTGGAGAGTCCATCGTGGCATTCACCAGTCACATGACACCTTAAAGTCCTCTTTCCTAGCCTCCTCTCAGATAGAGCAGAATGCTCTGAGTCTCCAGGTATGTCCCCTCCAGGGCAATGGCAGTAAACATGCCCACACACCACAGGTAAAATATATTACTGCAATATTATGTACAAATTATGTACATGGCTGTCAAGCATACTTTGTGCTCCTTATCACTGACATGGTAGCGGAATGTCTTCCTGAACAAGGCCCAGTGGCTATTTGCTGAGATCCCCTGGAGGTATTTAAGCAAAATGACCTTCCTCAGAGCAATCTGAAGGTTCCAGGCCAGAAAATGGGTGTCCTCTTTACCCCACCCATGACGACTGTGCCAAGAAGTAGCTCATCTTGTCCATCCACTCAAGAAATGTGGAGAGGTAAGAAAAAAGGCATCGCAGTTCCCCAGGCTCTTCGAGATGAATGGACTAGCTGTGTTTCCCTTGAAGGGGGAACTCTGGAGGTCTCAGGTGGAGCTATCAGTAACTTGTAGAGTCCTGGAGGGCCTGGACTCCAGGCTCTTGGGGAAAAAATGGACAATAAATAAGGGCCTGGCAGGCTTAAAGAACTTAGCCGAGGGATACAGGCTTCAGCTCCAAGCAAGCAGAAGAGTTGACTGTTGGTCTGTTGGTGGGCCTTGGGCCCTGCCCCCTTCCAAGCAGTCTTGTAACAGTCACTTGAGATGGGTGAGATGGGTCTCCAGGTTGTAGGGCAGCAAGCCCACCTTTCCCAGGAAGGAGCGCACCGGAAGCTCCTGTCAAGGGGACTTGGGCCCAGCGTTCAGATCTCCATAAGCGTGATCTTGAAGCCTTCCACCATGCTCTCCATGTTGAGGATGAAGGTGTCCTCATTTGAATAGTGTTCAATGATGTTGTCATCCATGTTCACCAGGATGCTGCCGCAATTGGGGTGAGATGGGGTGGGGTAAGAAACAAAGCCAGTGAACAGAGGGTTTTATGCAAGAGCAGCCTTCAAGCTACTGACTAATCACATTCTTAGGCCCCTCTGTATTTTCATTACAAACCTCAATTGCCCTTGGCTGAACACACATGTACAGTAAAAGTTACATATGACTCCATAGCAACTACAAAGGCAAGTTTTATCAGCAGCATTTTGCAAGTAAGAAACAACTCAGTAGGGTCAATGGCTCTCCAAATTCACCCAGCCAATGAACGCCTGAGCTGGGTCTAAAGCTGGCTTTGCCTCACCCCAAGCTACTTCACCTCTCCCTGGCTGCCTACTCCATGGCGGTTTGGTTTCAAGAAAACCAACTTCCAGAGTCTAGCAGTAATTTTTTTTTTTTGATAAATTTTGTTTTTGTCTTATATTTGAGTATTTTGCCTGAATGCATCTCTGTGTACGGTATGTGTGCATGGTACCCTCAGAGTTCTGAAGACCACATTTAATCCCCTGGACTAGAATTGCAGGTAGTTGTGAGATGCCATGTAGGTGCTGAGAATGAAATCAGGGTCCTGTGAAAGAGCCACACACACTCTTAACCAGTAAAGGGTCCCTCCAGCACCTCTATCTGTGACTGAGAAGTGCCTGAGCCTGTCTCACTCTTGTTAGCCAAAGAGATTTCCATTGGAGAAAGAATGACTCCCTGAATCACTTTAGAGTGGTGTCATCAGGGATGTGTCATACCTTCAGTGTGTTGTTTTACAAAATTAAAAGTGGGTTGATGTTGGGATAAAAGCCTTATGCATAGGCCTTCACAGGCCCAGTGCTGAAAGGCAGTGCTATCAGCAGTGTGTTTGTCCACACTGAAGCTCTCTAGCCAGCAAGACTTGAGGCATCACTCAAAGTGGTATCCCAGCCTACTGCACTGACCTTGGAAAGAACTGCAGCACGCATTCACTGAGTGTCTAACAAGAGTTCAAGTTTGATGCTCAGTCAGCCAAAGACTCCAAGCTCAGAAAGCCTGAGAACCCAGGTCATATTTTCTTTATGAAAAGGGTCCAGAAGAGTTTTATGGTACCTACTCCCAAAAAGGAAGCCTTAGAAAGGTCTTAAGAGGGGCAGAGGAGAGGGAAGCACTTGAGCCTTGAGGCCATTGAAGTGGCCCACCTCCCTGCAGGCATTGAATATGCTTTCTGTTTACTGAAAGTGAGACCTGGGGCAAATACTTAAACAGGCCCTTCATTCCTCCTCAGTAAGCCTGTGAGGAGGAAATGGAGCAGGGAACCCAGAGGCTCCTCGCCACCCAACCAGGAAGGACTAACTCTTCACTTTTCCTTACCATGTGGGCGAGCAGCCTGATGCCCATTTGAGATTTCATTAATGATTACCTTGAAATAATTTCTTTTGGCCTCAGCTAATTTTTGTCTGTACTGTGTCACTCAGAAGCCAATGTGAAGAGCTACATGTAGTTCTGCGACATCATTTTCCCCAATGTCCCCACCATCTCTAGACCACTCCCGCCCACTTGTGAGGCTGTCAGTAGATGAAAGCACCTCGGGTGACATGTTAGAAATGCACTGTGGGTCTCCCTGCCTGAACTGCTAGCATCGTGGGCCACGGATGTGACATGTTAGAAATGCACTGTGGGTCTCCCTGCCTGAACTGCTAGCATCGTGGGCCACGGATGTGACAACAGGTAAAGCTATATTAAAAATGTACCTTGCAGACAGGGAAGCTAGCTGAGTTAGCTTTTTTTTCTTACCCCTTTTTGCTCTTCTTATAAAGCTTTGTGATTTTCTCCACTGGCAGCCCATACTTCTCAGACAGCTGAAACATGAATATCAGGAAAGTGGTCAGCAGAGAGCAGGGACACACTGGGAAGCACAACATTCCAGCTGAGACCTCACATCTGAGCACAGCACAGTCCCCTAATGAGACACGTCAGGAAATCTCATGATGAACACTTTCCCTGCACTAACTGCTGAGACCATTCAGCCCAAGCCACTGGCTTTATAGATTAGCAAAATGAGGCGCAGAGAAGTGAATGGAGCCCCAATCCACATTTAGCAACCACAGGGCCACAGCTCACTAACCATGGCCCTGACTAGTTTCATCAAGTCATTATTTCCTCTGCCCTTAGAAGGAAGAGAAATGTAGCTCATTCTGTGCAGTGTGTCAGAGTCCATGTCTAGTACCATCCTAATTTTGATTCTCCCTTTGGATAGATCTTAAATCATTCAGCAAAACAATCTTGATTAAAGTGGCATTTCCGAGACCTTGGAAAAAAAACATCTACTCACAATGTTAGATTAAATAGGTAGCCATGCATCAAAAGACATTTCAACTGAGCCACTTGCAGTGGCTCACCCCTGTGAGCCCAGCCCTGAGGTCAGCATGAGCGACGGAATGCTCTCCAGACCAACCTCAACAGGTAGTGAGAGAAAAAGTCCAGGTGGATAAAAGATTTATATATGAAAGATGAGACCACTGAGACCATGAAAGCACAGGAAAAGATAAACATAAGTTCATTCTTCAGATAGCCATCATCCTAAGTACAGTTTTTCTAGGGAGACATGACACCTGCAAAACAAGCTTGAATAGTAATAACTGGAATTCTGAAATATCAGTAGATCAAACATACCACAAAGAAAAATAATATGCTGGGAAGCATTTTAAAATACAAACAATATATACAGAGCAAACTGCTTCATTAAAAAGAACTCGATGGGGAACAGGGCAGAGAAGAAAGAAAAAAAAACAGAAAAATTACATACAAGAAGAATATAATCAGGCAATAAGCATATGAAAATTGCACTGAACTTTTATTTAAAAATTTCAAATGAAAATAATGATAGGATAGTACTTTTAATTTAACTATCAAAAATGCAAATGAGCCAGGTGCCATGGCACACCCCTATAATCCCAGCACTCTGGAAGGCAGAGGCAGGTGGATTTCTGTGAGTTGGAGGCCAGCCTGGTCTACAAAGTGAGTCCAGGACAGAAATCCTGTCTTGGAAAACCAAGCGGGGGGTGGGGAGGGAAGGAGGGGAATGAGAGATCCAGCAGGTTTAAACATTTTCTGCTTTTGGCTTACAGCTCTGATGGATCTGATGCCCTCTTTTGGCCTCCATATCTACCTGCACACACATGGCAGACACAATGACACATTAAAAATAAATCTAAAAAATCTAAAACTAAACAAAACTGAAGTCATAATCTAATGTTGGTCAGAGCATGAGGAAACAGCAGTGTTCTGGTTCTATATAAGGAAGAGTGACCCTCAGCCTCCTGGAAAAGAAGTTTGACAGAAGCATAGTTTTTAAAAGTAAATATGAGCCACTGACATCATGTCTAGTAATCGGATATACAGAAATACTCTCATACTCAAACATGTTTGGAACATACCTGTTCACAACAGAGGAAAGTCATAACAAATATCCATTAAATATCCTGACATTTTCTTCACTTACACTTTAAAAATTGCTAGCATATTAGAGGGGAAAATAAGTGAAAATTTGTCAATATAGTATAATCTTGTCTGCATTTTTAATGTTTACATATATTTAAATGTATATAAAATATTTAAATGACATAGCAATCTATTAATGATAGCTACATTGATAAATGGTCAGATTTAAGCTCCCTTTTGCTTTGTTTAATTCTGTAGCGCTTATTTTTATGATTGTGTCATTTCTGTAAGTACAAAGTGGCAAGATGTATTCGAGAAAGATCTACTCCAAATATGTGCCATGCCCTCGCTAGTGGCTCACAGGTAAGGTTGGGACCCAGACTTAGGAAGTGCAGCACAGGCTAGAAAAGGGCTGCAGAACCTTAGGGGAGAGCTGAGATCCTGAGAAAAGTTTGTTCCAGAGAACCCTAGGTTCCTGCCTTTCCATCCCTACCACAGGGCAGAAAGACCTCTTCACTTATGTACACTCAGAAGCAAGACAGAGAGGCAGGTGGGAAAGGCAGACTAGACAAGTACCCTCTTGCCTGCGTGGGACACATCACTGGTGGCCCGACGAGGTTTCCCCACAGCCACAATAAGGCCCAATGAACAAAAGTTAACAAAACAAAACAAAACAACACAACACACTTGTTGGCCAGTGGGATGGCTCAGTGGGTAAAGGCCCTCACCACCAAGGCTGGCCAGCTGAGTTCAACTCCAGAAACACAAGGTGGAAGGCAAGAACCTTGACTCTTGCAAGTTGTTTACTGACTTCCACTTGAACGTGTAAATAAATAGAAAAGGCAACATTTCTCACAAGAGCCTGGAGGCAGCAAAGAAAACAGGCCTTGTGTTAGAAGTGCCTGTTTGCAGAAAATATAAACAAACAAATAGGCAGATAAAATGAGAAGCAGATGAGTAGCAGCTGGAGAGGCAAAAGCTAAGGGAAATGAATGGACACAGGAAGTCTCAAAAACACACATGCACTTAATTCAGAATTGGAGGAATTTAGCAGATAAATTACAATGACATGGTTGATCTAGTTTATATAATAGTAAATGCATATACATATACATACTGAATTTCCCAAAGATACTCTGTCATATAATGCGTAACAAAGACAATTGAACCATAATTCAATAAAGTGAGAAATAAAAACTTGAGAAGTTAATAAAAAATGTTAAGCCTCTCAGGAATACTTTACATTGCCTCTACTCTCTTCTCTCTTCCTCCCACTGAGGCCCCTACACTATTTGGCAAGCCCCTTGGTGTCCATATTTGCATATACAAATAAAAGGGAGCCACTTCCATTTTAGACCATTTAGGTTGATAAGAGTGCTTTCCTAGTATACACAGGCTGGGTTTGATCCCCAAGACCACATAAACTGGGTGGGAAGGGTATCTGCACAATCTCAGCACTGCAGGTGGAGTATATGTTCAAGGTCAACCTCCTCTGCATAGCAAGGCAGCCTGGGACACATGAGACCCAGAAAGAGATGGAAGGAGGGAGAGGGAGGAGGGAGAGAGAGAGGAACCCAATATGGTGAGCTAACTCTGTCTTTTGAGCTCTGAGCTGAATTCAGTTCTTGCTGAAATGACAAGGCTCTCAAGAGTGAGCTCACTTCCTTACTCATTCCCTGGGGATCTAGAACCACTCAGTGAACAGAACTAGTTCTCAGAAACTACTTGAGAGCAGCCTGCTTCCACATTATTTCCTGATTATTTCCTCAGCATAGCTGGCTGGAGCCACAGCAAGAAGATGCACAGGAACTCAGATAGGACAACATACATACACCCATACTTAAATTAGCCTCAAACCAGAACCTTTCTATGCCTTTCCCACACAGCAACTAGCTTGTTTTTTGGTGGTGGGGATTACGGATATTTTGTGATGCATTAGCATTCGGCCTGCAGGGTGAAAAGCTGGCTCAGCGGCCAAGAGCACTTGTTCTTCTTGCAAAGGACTCGGGTTCTATTTCCACAAGAATGTTCACTACTTCCTCATCAGTAGGGACAGATGTGCACATACACACAAAATAACGAATCTTTAAAAAAAATCTGTATGCATTTCACAGTCTGGGCTGCACTCATCCCCCGCGCTGGGCGCTCCTCATCTTATCCCTACATCATATCTGATGCGCTGGGGTAGCCATTCCTACATCACAGACACTTGCTCTCATCTTGGTGACTGCCTATGATGATGCCATTGCTTTTCTTTGTAATTCTGTTTTCTTTTAGATACTTAAAAGCACTTTCAAAGAGTCAATGGATTTTGTGCACCCATGGCACGAAAAAGTAGGAAGCCCTGGATAGCATCCCTTTCTGTGCACAGTGCTTGCTGCATGTGTCCGTGCGCGCGGGGGGGAGGGGGGCTGGAGTCCCCAGTATTCGCACCTAATTATTCTCACTCAGTTGCCTTCTAAGATTTGGCTTTGGTTAGTGTCACTTGCAATTTCTTTTTAATTTTCAAGTGAAAAAGTTTGCTTACTCAACAGCAGTAGTCTCATGTCTGTTCATGAGAAAAAGGAATCCATTCCTGGCTCCTCTTTTCAGTAATTAGGCTCTCCACTCTCCAAAGCATGTACTCAGCGAAGGGCTGATCAATCAACTGTCTATCCCGCCTCTCTCCCAGATGCTTATTATCGATTCTTGCTTTCCCTTTACTCTTTGTGTGACTGGCACTGTTTATTCTTCTTATATGTAAACATATGGACATCTGCCTACCTAGACTTGAGTTGGTGGAGAGCTTAGGGTGGCGCCACCATTTGGGGTAGAGCTTGGTAAAAGAGGCACCTATGTCTTCCAGCCTCAGTTTCCCTATCTGTAAAATGGTGATGATGCTATTTCCATGCCATGTTCATAGGAGTATGATAATAATTAAAAGGAGCCTGTAGCACTCAGCATGGTGGGACATACTCTGCAAATGGCAAACATTTGCAACAAACATTGTGCTCAAGGTCTGAGGAAATGCAGCTGACAGCAAGAGACAAACCCCTCGGAACTGCATATTCTACTGGAGAAAAGAAGGAAGGAACACCCAACCAATATTAGGTACGCCAGGTGGTCTGGCTTCTTTCCTCTTGCAGTAGCAAAACATTCTGACCATCAGCAACTTGAGGACAAAGTTTATTTCCTCTTACACCTCAAATACAAGTCTGTTACTGAGAAGCTAAAAAGCTCAAGTAGGAAGTAAAGCAGAAAGGCAGAAAGGAAAGCTGCTTACTGGTTTTCTGACTGACTCTTGCTCAGCTGTCTAGAGACAGTGCTGACTCAGCAGACTGGGTCTTCCCATATCATTCATCAGTCAAGACAATTTTTCACAGAAATGGCCAAAAGCCAGTCTGTCTCAGGCAATTCTTCAACTGAGGGTCCCTTGTCCTAGGTGACTCTAGGTCATGTCAAGTTGACAATAAAAACTGATCAAGATGCCAGGTTGAAATAAAATAAAGCAGGTGGAGGCACACAGAGAAGAAATGTTATTTATGTGAGTGGTCTGAGAGGCCCCACGAGCTGGGTGCGAGCAGCCCTAACATTGTGATATGAAAGAAGAGCATTCCTGGCAGAGGGGACAGCATGTGCAAGAGCCCTGAGGTATGAGTGGCGTCACTGATCTCCAGAACAAGCTCCGAGGCTCCATGGTCAAAGTTCACTCTTCGTAAGGTTACTGTGTGGTGGTTTCAGGGATGGCCCCAGACTCGTGTGTGCGAATGCTTGGCCCACAGGAAGCAGCACAGTTAGGAGGTGTGGCCTTTTGCTTGCTGCTGTGTGTGCTCGTGGTTAAGAGCCAGGCAAGCTCTGAAACAGTCTCAAGAAACAGTCCCCAGCAAGCCCCCGCACCTCAGTGCTTAAGTGGTTCAAGTGCCTGCCACCCAGCATGGGGACCTGAGTCTGGATGTCCAAATTGCACGCCTAGCCACATGCTGCAGTGCACATCTGCCATGGCCGAGCTCCCACGGACTTGCAGCATGTGCTGCCGCAGAGCCTGAGCCTGTCTCAGTCAGGGGGAGCTCAAGTGACCTCAGGGCTGTCCTCTGACCTCCACACACATGTGTACACACACTTACACACAAACACCAGTTTTTTAAAGTGAGCATACCACCTTCTAGCTAACCGAGCTACTGCACCCATCATGTGGCCTGGCTCACAGGCTGTAGGACATCCATGTGGGCTACAGAAAGTCACCACCTCGGAACTGTTCATGAATCTGTCTGATATGGTACCTTCTGATTCAAATATCAGTTCACGCCTGAAGGAAGGGTGGGAACACAGTTGTATTTTTTTTAGGTGACAGAGTCACATTTCATCACTCTCAATAATTATTTTCTTTTTTTAAAAAGTAAAAGACTACTTTAAAAACAAAACCAGAAAAAACGAGGACACGTATGACATGAAAGAAGAAAAGAGACTGAAGGAGGTTACCAGAGGTTGGGGACAGGAAGTGGGAAGACTGAGGGAGGAGAGTGTACTAAAACTCACTTTGTTCAAAAATGTTTTAATCTAACGTCTTGTATGCTAATGACAAAACTGCAATAAAATAAGTAAAAGGAAACATATATCCAAGTAACAGAGCCATGGCTGAAGACAGGGAATACTGACCACTCCACTGCACTCTTGACACGTTCACTTATGTGGATTCATTTCACACAAGCACATATCACCCATATTTATGCCACTAACAGTACAGACATCTATACAGTCTGCCCTCGATAACTGCAGGCAGGACCCACAGGGTTAAGTGACTAAAGATCAAAAGTATTAAAGTTGTGCTTGTGCTGAATATGTACAGACATTTTTTGCCATTATTTCTTAAACAATGCTATCTACATAGCTTTTACATTCATCAGGTAGTGTAACTAGGGATGGTTAAAAGCAGATGGAGGATTGCAGAAGTTGCGTAGGAATAGGCTATTTTATATAAAACACATGGACTTGAGTACTCATGAAGTTTAGTATTATGGAAAGTTGTGAAACAAATTCTAGATATGGAGAGATGATGTATAACTTATGTATTCATTTTATGCATACATATTACAATATATAGGAATACACATACATTACACATGCATATTATATACCCATGTACATATTTATTATAACATACAAACATGTACTGGTAAATGTGAGTATAATAAAATATCCTGGTTCTCAACGGATCCACATTCCAGTCAGTGTTTTCCTACCTCACACAGAGACACAAATCAACTCAGGATAGAATTACATTAGCTGGAGAAATGGCTCAGTGGTTAAGAGCACTGCCTGTTCTTCCAGAGGACCTGAGTTCAATTCCCAACACCCACATGGCAGTTTACAACTGACTGTAATCCAGCTCCAGGTGACTTGACACACTTACACAGACATATATGCAGGCAAAACACCAATGTACATAAAGCAAATAAACAAATAAAACACATAAGCTCTAGTGTTCTTCAAAAGACACCATCTAAATCACACGCTGATGTTCCCCTTCGACAGAGCCTGTGGTCTTCAATGACACCCCTAAGGTCAATGAACTTGGTTTATAGCTCACTACAAACCCTGAAAAGGCTGTGGACCCTGTGGACCCTGAAAAGGCTCTTCTTGACCACCTTTCCCACTTGTAACACTCCAGAAGCAAGCAGGTAGTTTGTGTTAAACATTAAGGAAACTTTTTATTCCAGAGTTGAAAGGAAGATGAATTGCCTGAAGACTATGACTAGAGCCATGGAGGGAACCTGAAGTTTCCAAGGCTTGCAGTTCTACCCATTCCTCTGCCTCACCCCATTCACCATCTACCAAAATAACACAGGTGTTGAAGGGAGGCTGGAGTTCTAAGTTGCTGCTGGAGCAAGTAAAGTGACCTTTTGTTCCACAGTGGTCCAGTGTGAGCACATCTGCAGGGTCCTTGTGAAGGTAGACAGAGGTTACAGAAGGAAAAAAGACACCAAGGACCAAAGCAGGATCCCAGCATAGCACAGCATTCAAACCTGTTCTAGATCTGTGGTATCCATCCCTCAGGCTGTTCTAGGAGTTGGTTAAATATGGATTCCTACAAGGCCTCGTGGTATATGCTTACAGTTCCATAATCCCTGTGCTCAGAAAGGCGCGCCAAGAGTCCAGGTCAGCCTGAGTCTTCAGCAACATTGCCTCTTCAGCAGGAAGGACTAAGAATGTGCATTGAAACAACCTCTAGATACTCTATAAACACTATTTTATCTGCTCTTAAAAGCCAGACTAAGGTATGGAAGTGGACAACGATGTTCAGAGAAATCTAACTATTTTACATTATTTTGTAGACCATTTATCCATCCTTCAGCAATTTCAAGGTCATTAAAAAAAAAATCTTGGTTCATCCCTTCTAGGCCTTTGGTAGTATCTGTTCTTTCTAATTAGTTTAAAATTCAGAGCCCATGATGGTGGTGACACAGCCTTTAGTCCTGGTACCACCGGGGCCGAAGCAGTGAAAGTGGCGGATGACAAATGAAAGTGGATTATATAGGCCTGAATTATATAGGCCAGCTGCGCTTACACAGTGAATCACAGGTCAGCTGGGGCTATACAGTAAGACCCTGTCTCAAAACAAAACAAACAATAACAGAAATCATAGTCCATTAGAAGTTCCATAGTCTTTCTTGCATTTACTTCTGGATTCGTTTCTGCTCTGAGTAGAATAGAAATCAATAGTCCCCACAAGTCATGACAAACAAAAAGCTGCCAAGCCTCCTCCTGCGCTTTCTGGAGGGTGACAGTGCTGCTCTGCTCAGAATGACCAGGGGTCACGAAACACCAGAGTGGGAGCAGCTGAAACCCACCGTGGCTACAATCTTCTAATTTCTTCTGATTACTACTCAGAACTGTAGATAGACAGACACAATATATTCACAATATCACACAGCTGTTCTCTCAAGTTCTAAAACATTCTCATCCCTTCCACAGGAAATGCACTAGTGTAGATCTTCCTTCTGCTCCCCAACCCATGGCAAACTTGCCTGCTTTCTCTCTCCCAGAAGTCACTGATTCTGGACATCACTGATAAGTTGAATCGTGTAACAGGGCGTTTTGTGCCTTCCTGCCAGTCTTACTCTGTATATACTCCTAAAGAATTGGAGACAGATGTCCAAACAGAAAGCAGCCCGTGAGCATTCACAGCAGGGCACTCTCAGGAGCACCCCAAGAAGGAAAAGCACATGGACCTGTCAGCTGAATGAATGAAAAAAAAAAAAATGAAGTATGTTGTGTCCATACAGTGAATGATTACTCTGCCAGCTGTAAAGAGAAGGAAGCGCTGGTGTGTAGCATGTTCTAGCATGGACACACACCAAGGAAAAGTACAAATGAAAGTGATCGCAGGCCACTGCGTTGTGTGGAACTTCCTCACGTACTGCAGTGTTCAGCCATAAGCCCAAATATCCCATCCGACGCATTTCTCGGACCAGCAGCCCCCAGGAGAGGTGAGAGGCAGCGCTGGTCCCCACCACTGTCACACCCTATCCCTACTGCACAGCTGTCCCTGAAACTGCTCACACTGAGGCACATCGAAGCTGGGTGAACAGCGTGTGAATAAAACACAGCTTTCCCTAGGCCGTGCTACTAGCCCTGGTCTGGGGCAGCGGAGAGAAGGGGAGAGAGTTCTGCAACAGATCTTCCCATAACCAACACATCCTCTTTCCACTTTGGATTACGCTACCCAAGTCAACAAGGCACCATACAGTTTTTGTTTTGTGTATATTTGGACACTATATGCACCTAATTTGGTTTTGTTAAAACAGATAAACGAAAGCCCCACATTATCTTTCCTCCAAAGCATCTGACTGGGATGATTAGTCTGGAACCAATAGGAATTTGGTTGTTATTCCAAAAGTCTGTCTTAACATGCTGATAGGCTGACACAGACGTGGATATTTCCAAAGAACTCAACTCTTCACTTTCTTTCTGATTCTGGAGCCACCTAAGTTCTGCCCAGGTGGCAGGGCAGGGACTCTGGAGGCTGAGGGGGCTGTGGCTTACCGCTTCCATCAGGCCCTTCACTGTGGGCGATCTCAGCATCAGGGCGTCGAACACGTCATCACTCTCCTTCCGCACGTACAAAAGCACTGCAAGAGAAGGGGACAGCTAGCGTGACTCCTGTCACATGGGAGTCTCAAGCTGACACCACCTGCTCTGCCAACAGGCCAATGACTACTGGGATGTACCAGCTCTGACACCTAGATCCACACTTTAGTTTCTCAAGATAGGCACACAGTCTCCTCATGACTACTGTTCCCTGTGCTCATTCAGTGAATACCACTGAAGGCTCCTGGGTGCCATAGGCTGTATATACCAAGGCAGAGAGCTAATGGACCCCAGTCTCTGCCTTTAGGGAGTTTATGGTCCATTAGGAGAGACAGGCAGGTACCAGATGACCTAGACACCATTGTGTGAGTCATGAAAAAAGAGCCAAAAAGAAGATGCTTTCCAGGCAGCTCCTACCATGGTGAGGTAAGGGAGAAGGATAAGATACTCAAGTATCTCTGAGTTGTGAAGAGCATAGAAACACCAAATCTAGAAAGGAATGACACCAGGAGAAGAGAAGGTCAGGCAGACCTTCTCCTGCACAGGCTTGGACAAGTACCAGGGTAGCACCCAGGACAGCCCAGGAAGAACTTAGGATGTAGAGAATCACGGATTTGGGTGCAAGTCCAGCTCAGCCCCTGCTGTGACGCTAATGACTTAATCTTTCCCTGTCTGGATAACCTGTAAAGTAGGACACTGGCATCCAGCACATAGGTGCCTGCTGCCAGTTCTGGGAAAGAAGGTCCATGTGGTAGGCTTCATCTAGGCCCAGCACACAGAGAAGCTCAGTCTTCAACCTACAGAAGCAACCAGGAAGCGGTGTGGCTCCTGTGCCCTCCAGCGAGGGCATAGCTTTCCTTTCACTTCTCTGTAAGAACTCTGAACTGGGGAGTGTGCAGGCTAAGATGGGCAGGCACTGTCGATCTTAGCAATGTAAATGGACCTCGGGAGGCTAAGATACACCCATGGGGTCCCACAGACATGGTCACCCCTGTCCACTGAGTCCTCCTGTGCCCACCGCGCCAGCAATCATGCTGAAAGGTCAGCTCCCAGAAGATCAAAACAAACAAACAAACAAACAAACAACTGGCCACTGTCATCCAGGTGCAGTCTGGCATCCCAGAGGGCTACTCTTTCTGTCCTCTGGCGGCAGCGTGACTTCCCACCCAAGGGAAGAAAAAGCTGAAACCCCTCATCTGTCCACACTAGGGAAAACTGCCCCAGGCAAAAACAATAACAGCAAAACACTGGTGAGCCTACATCTCAACTATAATCTTAAATCCACCTAGCCTACCATCACCATCAGCAGAAAAACAAAGGCAGAACTGGGAAATGAAATCAGCCAAATCCAAACTCCATGTCTCCCCTCCCCCTCCATCCCAAAGGCTTTCTTAAAGCTGTGCATATAAAGGCCACATTGACAGGGGTTCTGCCCAAACTCCCTTCTGTGGCCTGTGAATGTTCAGGTAGATTGCGGTGACTGTGGTAACGGGAGGAGAGGCAGAGGAAGGAGAGAGGCAGACTTGGGCACTGGTGCCTTCTTTATCAAATATCAAAACAGAAGTGCCGATTAAATATGCAGACTGACTACATTTCCTACAAGTTTAGTCCCTTGAAGCAATCTTGCATCACTTCCATGTCAGTTAAAGCTGCCTAGAACCCAAAGGCTATCAGAAAAGGAGGCAATGTGAACAGTGTGAGAAAAATACTTAGAATGCGGACCCTGGCTACATCCAGATAAGGAAGAGTAAACTCAAGAGGAAGACATACTGGCGGCTATTACTTGATGGAAATTCTGTAACTTCTTGAAGCTCTCAACAACAGAAAGAGAGGGAAAGAGCAACTTCCATCTGGATGACCCTAGAGAGATTACATTCTATTAAAATTAGCACTACTAATAAATAACCTCAGCTTAAACCATTGCTTTTCATGTTGCTCAAGGGTGGCTGGTAAGAGCTCAGGTGCTTCATTTTGTTCTGTTTTGTTGAGCAGGTGGGGCAGTCTCAGCCTTCCCTGTCAGGCTTGCTGACAGCTAGCCTAGAGGCCATACTGGGCTCCAGACCATTAGAGGGCTTGCCCACAGAGCCAGTTTTTATTAGATCTATTCTGTGGTGTACCAATGGTAACAATCCTGCCAACCACAACAGGAACAAGCACTGAACATCCCAGACATCACACAGCCAAAGGCGGGCAGCCTCTTGTGGAGCTCCAAAATGATTCTGACCCAGTTACCCTGACAAGTGGCTGCAAAGGAAAAACAACCTGTAATGATGGCTTTGGTGTTAACTGTCACCATTCTTCTTGAGCAACTTTGGACAAATAACCGGTAGGAGCTGCCACTAATCCTCAATACCTGAGCCAAGCACCTGCTCAGAGCAAGGGGCCCAGTGATATCTCCATCCTTCTCCAAAGAGAAGCTCTTGGGGGTAGCGGGGATATGGTTCTTAACGCTGGTAGGTTACAGCGCCCTCTGTGTCTGACTTCAAAGTTTCAGAAGCCATACCTTAAGTTTTAATTATAGGCCAATACAATTTGTAGTGGCAATTTTGGTGGCAGTTTCACAAGCTTTGAAAAATAGTTATTGGACCAGCTACCAGGCTGTAACTATAATTCCACACACCAGTGTGACTCCTGGTTTCCCTATGACTCTGCCCTATTCCTAAGTAAAGTCAGGGAGGAAAAGATACCAAGGAATGGAGGTGAAAACAAGTGATGGTGAACTGGGAGCCACCATCTCATATGGGCATGCCCAACTTGTTGTTGTTAATTGTTTTATCTATTGAATATCTCTGAATCACTGGTTCATGAGACGCACTCACAGAGCCAATGTCCTCTGAACTATGTATTTCCCTGCTGGAGGAGTTGGGAGCCACATAACCGTTCCTCCAAGGCCTGTAATGGAAAAGCCTGTAACCTCCCATATGAGGGAAACCCCACCAGGATTGGAAATGGTTCAGTCTCAGGGAGTGAGTTCTTGACAAGACACTCCCTAACCTTCACACCAGTGGCACACAGGAAGGAGAGATACCTCGCTTTACATTTTCTTCTTTAATCTGCTTAGACGGTGTCGGACCAAACTCCTCTTCCATGGGCCTGAACATCCGTTTAACAAGGACGCTGCTGCTGGAGAAGACAGGCAGAAATGGTTAAATACATCAGAGAGTGTCACACCACAGGGTACTGACCTGTCCTCCCCTGCAGGCTCTACACCACCATCCCCACTGAGGGAGAAAGATGGAGCCACAAAAGGGAGGATGCTGAGCCTGCCTCTCCTTTTCTGTTCAGAAGGTCAGGGCCACGGAAAAGCTGCTGTCACCCAAGTTGCAGCAGCCTCTCACATCCACGGTGAGCTACTGACAGGAGACAACACGGGCCACTTCAACAGACCTCTCTTGAAGACTGTCCTGGCTTCCTACAGTTCTCCCTTTCATGGTTGCCATAGTGGAGGTTCAACCCACTCCACTGACACCAAAACATTCTCTCTGGAGTCAGTTCTGTGTTTGCTTTCAAAGTTCTTATGCGTTCCAGACAGACTAAGGGAATTAGAAGAGGAAATCAGAAAAGTGGAGATTTACAATTCTTTAGTCTCAGGCGCGTAGATGCAGACTTATAGAAAATGATCATTTTAGCCCATGAGGCAGTGTCTAGCAAATCACTTAGCAGAATGGTTAGGACAGGACTTCAGCAGTCAGACCACTCGATGGATTTAAAATCCCTGCTTTGTAGTTTATTACTGTACAAATTTGGCATGTTGCTCAACTTCCCTACTCCTCAGTCTCCTTATCTTTAAGAGGAGGCTGTTGACATAGAAATGATAATATTTGAGGAACTGGAAGTATTAATTACACCAAATTGATCAGTATACACTATTTACACTGTCAACTGATCGTACCACACCAGACAAATAAGTACAAATATTATGTGCAAATAAAAATTAATTACTTTAATAAAATTTAAAAGGAGGCGGGGGAGGTGGTTCAGCAATAAAGGCTGGACACTGCTCTTACAGAGGACCAGAGTTAGGTTCCTAGCACCGCGGCAGGTGGCTAAGCTTTCTGTCCTCCAGCTCCGAGGGATCCAATGCATCTGACCTCCACTAACACCTGCACATGCGTGTGTATACCCACATGCAATGCACACATGGTTTAAAAAATAATAAAAATGCTAAATTTACAGGAGGCTCTCGGGAGAATTCCGTGAGTGTCGGGGACTGAGGGAAGCACCACCAAAGTGCTAGATGAAGACAATGAAGATGCTGATGATCACAGTGGAGAGGCTCGAGGGCAAGAACGGAGAAGACTAGATTTTCCACCCAGAGCAAACAGCTCACTACCTCTTGGTCTCACGTAGGAGATGGACACAGTAATTAACCCCAGTCCTGCGGGTAACACAAAACTGTGACTCCTGCCTGAGTGAGCTTCCTGCCACCAGAGAGCCATTCATCACTTCCCAAGTCAGGTTGGTAGGGACCCAGCTCATAAAAGCACATGCACACTACCTGGGACAGTCTGAAACTTCCTATCCATGTTGGAAGCTTATATCACCAAAACCAATGGTACTTAATTTACCTCCAAAGGGAGCATCAGCCAACTGAGTTTCTTAACACACACCTCCGCCTTGTTCACTTACATCCCGAGAACTCTGAGGCAGCTGAAATAAGAACAATCTTAGCCCTTGTGTTCACAATGACAGAGGCTCAAATGTGTTATCAGCCTTCCACACTGTTATTCAGCTAATAGGAAAAGAGGCTATTCGCATGTGCCACCTTCAAGGGAACCATCTCATGAAAGAGCTACCCAAGAAATCTGAGATGCTTTTGAGGATAGGATATCAAGAGCCATCTTATTTTATTTCCTCTATGTCAAACAGTAGAAACAGCTAAGGAAAAAACTACGACTCAGGTCTCACCTGAAGGCAATAAAGAACTTTTAGGACACTGCTGCCTCTGCCTTGCCCTTGCTGCTTTGTCATAAAAGCAGGCATGATACTGTCTCCTCTTGGAACTGACCAAGAACTTAGAACTGTAATAGTAGTGACCAAAACTAGAAGATTTAAAAAAAAAAATCCATACACACAGCAGCCAGGCACCATTAGGTTAATAACTGGTAAATGGCCTGAAATGTTATCAGATATCTTCTCATGCTGTGTGAGTCAAGCCACTTCACAAAGCAAGATTCACTTATATTTTTCCAGTTCAGTTGACTTTTGAGGACAACTTAATCCAAGCCACAGCAGGCTTTGTCATTAAAATAGTATCTCAGATAAACCACATTTCTCTTGGGAGGCCAAACACTTTCAAATCTATAAACCCAGTAGGAGCCAGTAAGTTTTATATGTTATGAATCCAGTAGTTTCATTTATTTTTCAAAGCAAAACCAAACAAGGCAGCTATGACTTGCCCGCATTCTAATGAGAAGAATGCAGGCTGAAGGCCTTCTGGTGCCCAGCTCAGTGACACTATATAATCATTTTCAAAGGATCAGAGAGCAACAGAGCAGAGCTTTGCCTGACATCATCTCCATTACGAGGCCATCAGTTAGAAAAACCCAGGGCCAGCAGCACACTCAGCCATGGGCCTTTGAGGTTAATCACAAGGAAAACAAGACCCTTGGAAGCAACAAACAATATTAAGATTCATCCAAAAAATCCTGAGAAATGTTAGGTCTGATGCAAGAGCAAGGATGGAGAGGGCTACAAAGCTACCAGGACTTATGGTGAAACTTCTGGAGAGCACAAGGCACAGACACGCTCTGCGGGGTATTCTCCAGCCTCTTAACTACCGCAAACAGTGGAATATGAAGCTAACTCAAAATCACAAGCTTGGCCTGATCCATCGTCCTGATGGCTGCTGTGACAATGCCACTGAAGTCATTACCTCCTCAGGGCTAGATGAGCACACATGGTGTCCTCAGAGCTCAGAGATCTGTCTGCCCTGCCAGGAGAGCTCATGAGATGAAACAAGGTTAGGCCTTGCTAAAGACCAGAAAGCTTACACAATAGGATATGCCCAGCCCCACCCCTGTGCCTTCCCCTCAGCCATGGGTCTAGAATTGAGGAAACTGGGCAATGGAGGCACATTGGTGAGTGCTGGGAATTATGGGTAGGCACTGGCTCAACCTGTGCTTCTATCATGTACCAGCTAGACAACTTTGAAGAAGTTTCCAAATTTCTCAAGGCCTTTTTCCTCACTGTTAATGGCAGATAATAGGAAATCTGGGAGAAATCATGGAAAGAATACACATAAAAACATTCAGAACCTAGCCAAGGTATCCAGGGAGTGCTATTACTTTCACATATAGCAATAGCCAAGGACCCAGCATGCATTAACACAGAGGCACTAAACCTGCCCACATTGCTCAATCAGAAGATGTATGGAAGTACAGGACATGGCTGTCCTTGGAATGGATGACTACGCAACAACACAGGCAATTCTTATGGAGAGACCAGGTAGGTCACTGGCCACTTAGCTTGCAAAGGACAGGCTGATGGGTCTGCACAATCACTTCACACTCTCCTAAAGTTCCCCTTTATAACACTCCCTGTGAACTTTATCTCAGGAATACCACTAAGCAAAATGCCAAATGCTGGGGATGTAAGAGAGAGAGCCTTCTACAGCACCTTCAGTATAGACCTGAGGACATGGAGGTTGGAGACAGGAAGGCTGGATGAGGCTTCATGTGGATAAACAACAGTCCAGAGGATGGACTTGGCTTCCTGAGCTCAAGCCAACATTCTTTTCATGACGCCATGCTGTCTCTTTATAAAATATGTGATTTAAAGACTAGAATTCATAGGTCTAATCACTTGTTTGTTCCAACCAACTGAAATTTGATTATTTCTGTCCCAAGATAAAAAGAACAAACTACCCATTTCTGTTTTTGAAATGGGAGTTTTTATTTTCTAGACAGACTGGGCTGGCCAAAACGTTTGATCCTCCTGCCTCAGATCCCTGATTTCTGGGACTAGAGGCATGAGCCACTATGCTTGTCTTTCTAATCAATATTTAAAGGATTTACAACTGATTTTAGAGATTTGGTCCTGGACAAGTTCCAGTCCTAAGCAGCCTGAGGGTTATTTAATTTAATTCCTTTGAGATTGTCTTCCTCTGAGATGGAAGGTGGCAAACTTTGTCTGAAAAGGGCCCAGCAACAAAGGTTTTTCAGATTATTATTGTAACAACTCAATTCTGCTGCTGTATCACCAAAGAAATCCTAAGAGAACACATACAGGAACTAATACAGCTGTGTTCCAGAAAAACATTCCTTGCAGAGGCTCGGGTGTACTTCATATCACTGATGATGTAATGCCAATCTTCACTGGAGGTTTTTAAACTATTGAAACCCATTCCAAATGGGTGATTGGGGCTGAGTGTGGTGCACACACCTTTAATTCCAGCACTCAGGAGGAAGATCTCTGTGAGCTCAAGGCCAGCCTGGCCTACATGGTGTGTTCCAGGCAGCTAGGGCTACAGACTAAGACCCTGCCCATCCCCACCACCACCAAAAGAAGATCTGGCCCTTGGTCTGTCACTTGAAAACTTCTGCTTCAGGAATAAAGCCAGCAATATCAGCTATACTTCCTTCACCAATTATGAAGTGTCTTACATAGGAATGGGAAAGCCTAAGTTTGACTATGGTTTATAGGAAATTTATCTTGGGATGTTAGGTATATACAACTAATGCAAACAATGAGCATAAAATACATATTGAGGAATGAATGTGGTTTTAGCTTGCTTTAAGAGAAAAATATAGCATTCAGCTTATAAGAGAGTTCCCAACATAACCTGCAATTCATGAGGTTCTAAAAACATGTATTCAGAAAACAAAAGCAAATAAAAACAAAACAAAACCAACTTAGTGGTCAGGCTGGAGAACTATGAGGTTAAAAGCACTGGCTGCTCTTCCTGGTTTAATTCCCAGCATCCATAGCACAGTTCATAATCATCTGTAACTCCAGTTCCAGGGATTCAATGCCATTTTCTGGCCTTCATGGGCGATCGGCATGCAACTGGTACACAAACATACACAGAGGCAAAATGCTCCTTTTTTGCTGTTGTTGTGTAAATTTAGTAGTCTCCATGAGAGAAATTAAGATATTAAAAGATAAAACTATATTTTAACTAAGAACAGTTTCAGGGAAGAACAGAAGTTTGAATGTTGAGGGTGGAAAAGTCTTATCCAGAGAGCAGAGCAGGAGTGAATGGACAGAAGTTGAATGCTGTTATCAGAGAGAACGTGCTATGAAGATCTCAACTGTTAACCAATATGAAATGAGAGACCCTAAGAAGACTTGTAAAACACACTCTTGGGTATGTTTGTCAGGGTGTTTCCAAAAAGAATTAATTAACCAGAGAAGATTATACTAAACATAGGCAGTGTCATTCAAGAGACTGGAAGCCTAAATGACATTCTCTAACTGGCAGAGGCCACAGAGGAACAGCTCTGGCATCTGCCCCTGCCTCTGCCCTATGTTGTTCCAAAAGAATAAGCCAAAGTACAGTTTTCCTCCTTTAAACTCTAAAAGCTGAAACCACCCAGCTCTTAGAAATAATATAACGAGCTTCCTCATATGCAGAGAGCATTCTTCACTGGCAATATTCAAATAGAAGGCAGCTCAACACCTACCCCTGGAGAATGTGCTATCAACGTTACTGTGGCCTAGAAGAGTCATCTCATGGCCTTAAAACAGCCCTTTCATACCTGCAAGCTTCTGAGTATATAAAATGAGTTAAGGGAAGAAACTACACTGAAGAGTTAGCTGCCCCTAAACATTTATAGGTGGGCATATATTCTCTGCAAAGATGGGGCCAGAGAGACACATCTGGAAGAATCAGAAGACAACTTCCTACCCCAGACCCACAGGGCAGTGAACAGGTTCTCAACCCACTCAGGCCACATTCAAAACCTTGAGTAAGGCTTCAGGAGCTGTTTGTGTCTCGGGCAATTTTGAAAGCAGGAAAGGCTTTTACACTCTCAACCAGTGTAAGATGAAAGATCTTGTGCTGAGATGAAACGATGGGAATCAAGAGCTACCAGAAAGATTTCAACAAGCAGTGCACTAGAAGGGATGGGCCATGTTTGCAAAATGACCATTTAGTCAAAGGCAGATTATAGGGAGAAAGGGAAGGCACAGAAGACGGGCCTGCAGGGAAAGGTGGCCACCAACAGCCCCTCTCTCCGCTCTAAGTCACAAGCACATGGGAAGGCCCCATCTCCTGCCCAGGGCGGCCCAGGCTGAGAAGGTGCACTGCCACCCTCACAAACAAACATTATGTGCTTAGAGTGAACCGACTGCTCTTACCCTTCTCGTTCATCATCCGTGTTGTAATACACCTGTGGAGAAAACAAGAGGCTCATGTCAGACAGGATAAAACAGAAATCTGAATGAGTTGTCTGACTGTGAAGAGGAAAAAAGATACATTTGATTAGCAATGGTGTGTGTGTTAGATTTTATAAAGTAAATTCAGAAATGTGACTATTTCTAGCTTAAGCTGGTCTGCTCTGATCAGGTTACTCTGGCTCTCTGCCAAATGTTGCTCCTGACAATAAGAAAATCTGTTGGTAAGATCTAAACGCATTCTTTAGAAAGGCTGTGCTGGCTCCCGAGTGTTTGTTCCTCAAGGGGGTCTGGCTTACCCTGGTTTCCCATCACCACAGAAATGTAAGGGTGAACTGTCAGCAAAGAAACTGGTGGACAAATATTTAACTGGGATGCCTATTGCACATATCAAATCGGGCCAGCATCCCTCAGGACCTGTGGCTCCTCTCAGCATACCTCACCCCAACCCCTCCCCTACACTTCTCTCTTCCAGGGACTGGACTTCCTGTTCCAGCAGCATATAACTCAGCCATTTTGGCTTTCTTTGCCTCTTGAACCTGGTGGCAGCTCTTGGCTTCTCTCTTACTTCTCTGTCCTCGCCCGTTTAGTCAGCTGGCCATGCTCAGCCTGCATCCCTCCCTCTGCCTGCTTTGTCCCTTACATATACAATAAAAATCTCCACACTTTAAGGGTAGCCACAGCCTCCTCTTTTTATTTTAGTTCTTCATTCATTAAGTCTCTTCACGCTCTAAAGGTCATGTGGCAAAAGGAAGATCTCCAAGGACAAGTGTCATTAGGAGCGAGCAGTGGCAAGCACAATCAGAATTAGAGAAACTGAAGCATCCTGCCAGACAGTGCCAGATAGTGGTGGCACATCCAGGCAACCATCTCTCACACACACACAGCCTTGCTGGCTGTCTTTTCTGGACAAGATACAATATTCATGTATTCATTCTTTCCTCTTATATATTGGTTCCTATGTAATAAGACAAGATAGAAATGTTAAAGTGAATTTTAGTAGAAATGTACTCCATGCAAAAAGTATGAATATATTTATTACCATATTATATCATGAACTGAGAAACAAACACACACTCATGCATATGCACACATGCAACCTACCCCCCCCACACCATGATCCTCTGGTTATACAGCTGCCTTGTCACTATATAAAACATTCTCCAGAAAAAGGAGAAGCTGCAAGATTGAGAAATGAGGCTGATGTCAAGTCCCAGCACTTAGAATGCAAGGGGACTTGAGTTTGTCATAATGCTCCTATTTCTCAAAACAATCCTTTCAGCCAAGGATTCTGGATTCAAAAGAAAATAAAATGAGGCAAAATTAAAATCCCAATTAGTATGGCCAAAACAAACTCTGGCTGATGCTAAGAAACATCTTTTCTTTCTTCTCCAGTTTTCATTTCTCCCTTGGGAGAAGTAACCTTAAAGAGTAAAGGAAATAACATCAGCATCACCCGAGAACTCTGTAAACCTTTCCTTATAGAGGACCAGTCTTCAGCTGGCACAGGAAAAACCCTGAGCAAGCTCCAGCCCAGCTCCGTCAGCACTGGAGCGGTAGGCCCAGCACACCAATACCCTACTTTTAGTTTTTATTGAACAAAATGATAATTAATTCTCCTGTGGATGCATAGTTTTCATCATTAAATTTCAGTGTCTGCATAATCTTCCACAAAACTAAGCTGTCATAATGATTTAATTATTGAACATTTATTTGATTTCCAATCCTTCATTTCATTTGTAGATATAACCATAGGACTTGGCTATTGTGTTTTTAAAGGAAGATCTAACACTCTTTTTCCTTCATATGATAAATGATTTATCCACTCAATGAGAACTACCAATTTGCTAAGGAAAAAATTGTTGACAAGATCTTAATTTCTCTCCTCTGGGCAAATGTATGATGTTATTGAAACGGTTTTACCTCTCACCACTAGGTGGCGATATGTGCACTGACAGCGGCTGCTTCACAGAAACCACAACTTAAACAGGCAGATGAGGAGCTTTCTCCTGTCCTGTTGTCAACAATGTTCTAGTAACAGCTCACACCTTTCTCTGCCTTAGCATGCCAGTATTTCCTCCCAAGACAATGTTTTCTGTAAAAACCTACTTTTTGTGTTGCCATTCCCCTGCTGCTTGAGTTTATTTTTATGGCCTGTTCTGCCTACGCACCAGCACACCCTGTGGAGGGCAGTAGGAGGCTGTGAGCGAAAGTAGTACCTGTCCAGTCCTCTGCAGGTTGGCAAAGTGGACATCTGGTATGAAGAGCACGGGCTGCGAGTGCAGGTCAGGCATGGTTTTGAAGTACGTGATGTCACTTTTCTTCTGTAAAGGTATGGCGGCCAGCTTCCCGTCAGAGGCTGCACGAAACCACAACAACCACAGAACAGGGCTATGCACACCTCAACACTGTCAGCCAAGTCCATGATCCTCCCCCAAAGCTTTCCCAGCAGCCTAGATTATGCTTCAAATGCCCTTCCCCAGGCCCAAATAAACAAAAAGAGCGTGGGATTCTGGGAAGTACAATGCGGGTGGAAGGCTCCTCCACTTCCAGCTGTCCTGTGTGTCCCTCGGAGGACTTCTGTTTGCTTTCCATATCAACGCTCCCCCTGCAGGCCACACATGGAGCCTTGGTACCTTCCCCTGTGGCCAGCTTCTTCTGTCTCTTCAAAGGACCCTGCTGGCTACAATCAGCATTGGGGAGAGGTTGACTTACAGTTGTTGCACTGGGTTTGGGAGGCCTGGCCCTTCCCTTTCTTCCTATTCTGCTTTCTCTCTTCATCTCGGATTTTTCTTTCTGCTCCCTGATGGGGAAAACAGAGACCAAACAAGGTATGTTTTCAGAGCATAAAAGAATATTCTCATTTTCTTTCTCTCTCACACACACAGCATTAGGATGGGAAGAGGAAGCCAGGAAGCCTCTGCCTCAGCGAAATGAGAACACTTACAGATCTTCATGCTACATTCTGACCTGTAAGGCCAGTTCATCCGATTGCTGCCTCTTCCTGTCTCATGCCTACTCCATGAACTTGACTTTTGAATCCATGGGGAAAGAACAGGCTGAGTTCTCTGGCCCAGTGTTACCTGCTAGGTAGCTCAGTGCTATTAATAGAACAGCCTAAGCACTGGCCCATGGCGTCCGCTCCTAGGCACAGACAGCTTTCAGGCAAATGCCACTTCCCGGGGCATGTTTTCCTCTGCCTATCGTTATGAATTTTTTCAAAAAATCATCACAGGAAGAAATAAAGGGGGCATTTTTGTAGCCACACAAAGATACGGGATCACTCTGCACATGAAATTATCGATATTTCCCTGTATGCTTGGAGATGGCGCTCACTCTACCACATAGGAGAAACATGCATTCACTCACTTCTGTGCTCCTGTTCTTTGTAATTTGGCTTCTTATTAGCCAAATTCAAGGCCTTCTCCTGCTCCACTACCTGATCAGCTGCCCCTGCTGTCAGCATCATTTGCTGTTCATATTTCTTTTGGGCCATTTCTTAACTTATTTTCCTCTCCTGATCCCAGACAGGCATCCAGCACAGCTTCCTCCATTCTGGCTTCAGCAGAATCCAAGCACGCCATGAATTGACAATGCCCTACACAGGTGACATTCACAGGACACCAAGCCGAACCTGCTTCCTAGGTCCGTGTCAACAGTGTCTTCCCTTGACGCCGCATGAAGCACCCAGCAACTGCGCCCTTCAGACAAAGCAAACACACTCTTGGCCACACTGACCTCACTGGTCTCACTGACTCAGAGCAGAAAGCCAGACAAGAGCAGGGTACAGTGGGGACTTGGCTTCGGAGGGAGTTCTTGAAGGATGGGCCACTGCTGTTTTCCATAGACGGGACTCAGACAATCACAATGCACCTTTCCTACCAAAAACCACCAAAGAACTAGCGGCTCTTAGGCTATCTTACATTAAATTTTGAGGTGTCATTGATACTTACAGATCATGGAAATCCACAGCAAGAGGGACAACATGGAGAAATATAGATACATCAGCTACACAAAAACTCATCAAAATAACCCAGACTTTTGTAGAGCCTTTGTGTTTAAACAAAGAGAAATCAATTCTAAATGCCCCCAATAACACCTTGCTCAAACTAACTTCAAGTTTGGAATGGGAAATGGCAATATTTTTTTCTTAGATGCATGCAGAGCACTTTGCCATGTGTTGGAAGCTATGTGTAATTCAGTATTTCATATAAATATGTATTATCTACCCCTATAAATTATAATTCACTCAAGACACATCCCAAAATTATACAAATTATTTTTTTCATTGTCAAATTTTGTGTTATTTTTAAGTATTAGTGTCATGTGAAAAATACTCATCATGCTGAATATTGCCCTGGTTAGTTTGTTGTGTTTTTGTTTTGTTTTGTTTGTTTGTTGATCAACTTGACACAAGCTAAGGTCATAGAAGAGAACCTCAACTGAGAAAATGCCTGTGGAGCATTTTCTTGATGGATGAGAAAAGGCCCAGCCTGCTGGCAGTGGTGTGGGGCGGGGCACAGACTCCTGGGTCTAAGAAAGCAAGCTGAGCCAGCCGGGAGAGGGGGTATGCAGGAGCAGGGCAGGTCAGTAGGCAGCTCTCCTCGTAACCAGAGCCTCAGTTCCTGCCTCCAGGTTCCTGCTGTGAGCTCCCTCCCTGCCCCCTCTCCCACCTGCTGCTTTTGGTCACAGGCTTTAGCCTAGTGCTAGCCGGCTCCCTCAGACAGATAGCGCAATGACCTGAATGAGAACATTCTCCACGAGCCTGGTGTGCAAACACTTGGTCCCCAGCTGGTGGTGATGCCTGGGAAGGTGGCAGGCTCACTGGAGAAAGTACATCACTGGGGGTGGGCTTGAGAGAGTTTAAACCTCAGTCCATTTCCTCTCTCTGCGCTGTGCCTGCATCTCATCTTCCTGCTCCTACTTTCATGCTCACTTTCACACCGCTATGCCTCACCTGCCATGATAAACTCAACCCTCTGGACCCATATGGCATTTTATCATAGCATGAGAAAAGTAACCAATAAAAATGGGGACAGCCCAAGAAATTTTACTTTTAAAGAATGGTTTTATTTATGCTATTTCTGAGAATAGCCAAGAAAGAATTGTTTAAGAATTATCTATATCATCCTCCTCTTCAGGAAAACAGCAAACAGTGGATGGTGCAGAAGACCTCTGGCCCAGGCTTGGGAGGCCACAACAGCTTCTTCAGAGGACTTGGCAGTGGCCTTGGGAACTGAGGTTATAGTAGATGCTGTGAGGCTTCTGGAGGTAAAGCCAAAGACAAGGAGTGGATCCCTGTCACCAAGCTGGGCCACCTGGTCAAGGACTTGAAAATCGAGTTCCTGGAGACAATTTACCTCTTCTCCCCATCCATTAAGGAATCCTAGACCATCAGCTTTTTCCTGGGAGCATCCCCAAAAGATGAGATTCTGCAATGAGGACCCAGTTAAAGGCTTTAGTTGCTATTGGGGACTAGAATAGTTACATTGGCCCTGGTGTTAAGTGGTCCAAGGATATAGCCAATCAAAACCCAAGGGGCTATCATCTTGGCCAAGCTTTCCACTCTTTCTGTGCGGAAAGGCTAGTTGGGGAACAAGATTGGCAAGCCCCACATTGTTCTATGCAGGGTGACAGGAAGTTGTGGTTCCATGCTGCTGAGTCCCCCCAACCGAGAGGCACTGGCATCATCTCTGCTCCTGTGTCCAGAAAGCTGCTATGTAAGGCCAGTATTAATGACCGCCAACATCAGCCAGGGCTGCACTGCCGCCCTGGGCAACTCCATCAAGGCCACCTTTCATGCCATCTCCAAGTCCTACAGCTTCTTGATCCTGGAACCTCTGGGGAAAGACTGTGTTCATCAAATAACCTCATCAGGAATTCATGGACCATCTTGAGAAAACCCTCACCAGAATTCAGAGGACCTAGGCTCCAGTTGTGGCTACCACATATGGGGTTTTATACAAGATCATAAAATGAATTAAGCGTATTTTTGGAAAAAAATTATCTATGTGCAGTATAGTTTTCAGGAACTAGAAACACATTATACACTCTTGGGGAACTGTCCCTCTCATCTCTAAATAAAGCTGTGATCTCAGTAAGAGCCAAAAAAGCATTACACATTCAGTAAAGACAGATCTGCCTCCACCAAGATCTTGCATCACTTTATCTCCTAGGAGTACTTGTGGCCAAAACTTGCAGAAAACATTACTTCTACACTTAGGGAAGAAGTCCATTTCTTTAAGAGGGCAAATTTGATGCAGCTGATGCCACTACAGCTAACCCATCTGCAAGGTCCTAAGGCTCCTCTTCATGTGAGTTTCTCGACATTCCCCACTGCTTAACACTGCAATATACAGAAACCTACGTCATCACTCACGGCTTGAAAAAAATGCCAACCCATCATGCTTCATTAGGGCATTTAAAACAGGAACTATTAGGAATGTGACATTTCTTATTGGCAAAGTGTACATGAGAGTGATCCATTCTGGGTTTTCAATGTTTAAAATCATAGCCACACAAGTAAATGGTTTTTCCAACCACCTTTTTCTAGCCTAAGGCCCCGCCATGTGACTTTAAAAACAAAGCTTTGGGGCAGGTAGGGAATGTACACATTCCCCTTCTCATCCTTTCTCACTGAAAGGAAAAATTAACTGAATGAAAATAGGTTTTTTCTTTTTTAAGTGGCAAACAACTGGTATAATGAGCCCATTTTATCCCTTAAAGCCTCTTTTCCTCTAGGACATAGGCTCACAGCCACAGTGCAATACTCTCCTCCCTACAAGTTTGGGGTTTTGTGTGTGTGTTTGTTTAGTTTTGGGTTTTTTGAATGATCAGTTGTCACTCTCACATTCAGTGTATAAAGTTAGTTATTGATTCAAGGAGTCTGAACTGAGACAGATCTATGTCTGGACCCAGCTCCTCTGCTGCGTGAGTCCAGCCAAGTGCCTTTGACCCACGTCTATGTACTCACTGAGTGTTGCGTCAAATGGCCTCTGGGCTCTGGAGGCTATCTAACTGTCCCTCGGTTCTATAAAAGCTATACAGCTGTGCCTACAGTGCAATTCCAGTGGCTTTTATTATCTTCTCTTAACCATTTCCTCTCGGCTCACAGGGACACATTCCTCCCTGTGCTATTTCATTGCTATAACAGACAATTTAATACAACAGACTGCTGTAGATTTAAGAATGAAGGGTAGCATGGAATTAGCTCTGGGCCTCTTTTCCTTTCTCTTCTCCATCATCTAATCTGAAGTAGTCACCAGTACATACCTATCAGCAGCCAGTGAGATTACACCGCCTTTGTTATCTCACTTGTGTGTATGTGTGTTGTGTGCAAGTGGCCTTCAGTGTGTTCTGAGGCCAGAGAAGCATTTGGAATGTCCTCCTCTATTATGCCCTGACTTATTGCCTTGAGACAGGTCTCCCATTGAACCTAAAGTTTGACATTTAAGCTACAGTGAGTGGCTGGACACCCACATGCCTCAGAAACAATCCCAATGTTACAGGCACACGCAATACGCCCAGATTTTTATACTAGTGGTAAGGATTCAAATTTAGGGCCTTGTGCTTACATAAAAAGTACTCTTATCCACTGAGCCAGTTCCCTGCAGTTTACTGAGCTTTTCAGTAGTCATCGTATGGCCACCCTGATGGCTCCATGTCTGCACTCTCCCCCATCACTCACCGATTTACAGATCAGTGTGTGCCCTCCATCAGCATAGCACCTGTGCTTTCATATTCCATGTCTAGAGTTTGTTCTCTACTAGATTTACGGAGAAGGAATATTCACCAGAATTGGGATGTTATATTGTCGTTTATGTTTTATTTGAAGTTTGTGCTTTTCTATATTCTTTACATTGGAGTTAATTGGTTAGAAAAAAAGTCCTTGGTTTACTTTATTCTATTCAGATAACTATTTTCTCCTGATATAGTATTACTGTTGAAACTTTTGATGATAAAAATATCCCTATTCACTTCTAATTATTTATTTTCCTTTAATTAGATGCCCAAAGAATAGTTTTCATCTTTTCAAAGTCTGATAGCTATGCTTTCTTTTTTTAACCCCCTAAGACAGGGTCTCACTGGCTGTCTTGGAACACACTACATAGACACGGCTGGTCAAACTTACAGAGACACACCTGCCTCTGCCTCCCTAGTGCTGGGTTAAAAGGTGTGTGCCACTCTGCCCATCTGATAGCTGTTGTTTCATATTGTTTTCCTGAGCCAGTTCCCCCAGCATGGTATAAACACTCTCCCACAGTTCTGATGTACCATTTTTGCATTTGTTGTATTCTGTTGCTTGGGAGTTTGTTTGTTTGTTGTTGTTGTTGTTGTTTTTGGTTTGTTCTTCTCAATGACCACTTTTCTACAAATATTCGGTCATCTCTAGCTCTTGTCTGTGGTATGTTCACTCCTTTCTTTCATAATTTCCTTCTATTCTGCACTATTTTCCCACCTGCACCTCCTATGACCTGTCACTGGCCCAGTCACTAGCTGCTTCTCGTACATTCTGGAATACTTCTGCTTTTATTGCAAGTTCTTGCCTGAGCTCAAGCACACGTCTATTCTCATGTGCATGGTTTTCAAGCTTCCTGTTACCGAGATTCATTGGCTCACTTTGAGATATTGGGCTATTTTTCATCTGCTGGGTGGTAGTAGCTTCATGATGTTCATTCATTGTTCATAAGGAAGTTGGTCTGACCTTAATCTTGTTTTTAATGAAATGTTTTTTTGTTTTGTTTTATTTTGTTTTGATTTTTGGGGGTACCTATTTTCTGAGTCACTTTGGGCAACATGAGAAGCCAGGACAGTTCTCCCCTGAGGTTTGTAACCTACAATCCCTCTTCTTAAATGTTCACACAGTAATACAAAGAAGCGCACTGTTACTGTTGCTTTAAGGTTTATTCATTTTATTTTGGGGAGTGTTTTGTTTGCACGTGTGTATATGCACCACATGAGTGCCTGGTGCCCACAGAGGCCAGAAGAGGGTACCAGATCCCTTGGAACTGGAGTTGCCAATGGCTGTAAAGCTGTCAGTTACTGGAAACTGAATCTGAGTACTTTTCAAGAGCAGCAAGTGTTCTTTAGGACTGAGCCAGCCCCTAGTCTTCTGTTTTATAATATGGCCTACTCTGTATATAAATACAGAGTATAGATAGATATTTCTGTGTGCTTTCTATTGTTACAATAAAGACCACAGCAAAAGCAACCTGGAGAGCAAAGGGCGTACTTCCTCTTACAGGTGCAGGCCATCACTGAGGGAGAGAAACTCAAGGCAGGAACCTGGAGGCAGGAACAGAATCAGAGCCCATGAAGAAATGTCTCATACTGGCTTGCTCTTCAAGATTTGCTCAGTTTGCTTTCTTATATACCCAGGATCTCCTGCCCAGGGCTAGCACTACCCACAGTAAGCTAAGCCCTTCCACATCACCCATCAATCAAGAAAATGCTCCATAGACTTACACACATGCCAATCTGCTAGAGGAATTTTCTCGGTTGGCCCTTCTCGTACAAGAAAACTCTCCAGCTGTGTGGCAAAAAACTAACCAGGAGAGTGTCCCTTCCTATCTTAATTTTCTTTTGTGCTTCTCTTTCCTGGCCACCTGTTTGCCCACTCCAGCAGCTGATTTTACTCTTACCAGTTTTGCCCAGAACAGGGTTTTCCCCTTAGATCTGGGCTTCACATTGTAACTTCTCATGCAAAACAACATAGCAATGTCAGTCCCTTTGCACACACCAGCCAGCTAGGGTCTTTAGAATTTTTTCCCCCAGCCCCACCTCACACCCTGTCTTCAGAAGGCCCCTTGGTGCTTTCCAACGAGTACCTTAGGCTCCGTTACTTGCCCACACAGAGGCTGACCTTACACAGGCTGTCAAATGATCAGTACACGTGCTCACACCTGTGACCATCTCTTGTTCCTGACCTTCAGGGTTGAAGCTTTCTTATTCTGTTAAAGTTTATAGTAGCAATCATGGAGACGAAAGCACTGTGTGCTGTGTAAGAAAGAATGAACTCATTTTGTAGGCAAGGTTTCTAGTCCTGAAAGTTCTAGGTGAGGCCCCATGCAACTCAACAAAAGGCCAAGATTGCAATGTGTGTTCTAGAGTAGTGTCTACACACAGCGGATATTCCAGATCTGTCACCTCAGCTGCATACTTGGACCAAAGCACAGTATGCCAGAAACTGAAGGTTCCCTCATTTCACCCGACCTGTGCTGAAGTGAAGCCCTTACATACCGCTGCTGAGGTCAGGAGGCTGATCCCTGATGTGACAGTGTCCTTGTGAAAAGACACAGAAGAGCTCTTCTCTTTTTCTTCCATGGAGCACAAGGAAAGAACATGCCTACCGGCAGCCAGGAAGACAACCCTCACAGGGACTGAACTCACTGAGCTGAGGTTTCCGTAAAAAGTACATTTCTATTGCTCACACCACCTAGCCTCAGGTATTTTGTTTTATCAGCCTGAGAGAACTAAGCCCCAGGGCAATGCCAGTCATTAAATTAATGGTAAAAATGCAGAAAACAACAAGAGCCAAGACAAAGGACAGTGGATTGGTGACTCTCTAAATATCTAACAGGACTTGAGAATAAAAGATTGCCATGTCTCTGTGGTAGGCCAAGAACAGCGACAAGGGAGAAATGTCATTAAAAAGAACATCTAGCCATAACAGAACCTTTCTGACAAACTGTCTTTACTCACCTTGTCGCAGAAGACCTTGATCTGGCAGTACGCTCTGTGGACGGGTTTATTGCTGCGGTTATTGTAACTGTATGTGTCAATTTGAATCATCAAAGGAAGTCCTTTCACGCCCTTCTGGGAGGAGAAATCTGTACTCAAGCAATTCACTGTGATGAAAATCTGAAGGAGGCAGAAAAAGAAGAAAGTTCACAAACTGCCATGCAGAGGACCTTCAAAGAGGGAGGCAGGCAGGCATGTGAAGTGAAAATCCTACACAAACCTATAAGGACAACTGATAATTATTCAATACTCTCCCATAGAATCCTGCCAGATGCACAAAACATTATATGGCTGTAAACTTCTAAACTATTTGCTTTGATATTTGAACTTGAAATAGACAATTTAAATGACTGTCTAGAAAGCACATCACTATAAATGAGTTAACTAAGTTATTTTCTTGGTATGTTAACATCGCCACTTCTGGGGCTACAGAAATGTGTCAGCAGTTAAGAGCACTTGCTACTCTTGCAGACGACGAGGGTCTGACTTCCAGGACCCACACGGTGGTTCACAGCTGTTGTAACTCCAGGTCCAGGGATCTGACATCCTCTTCTGCTTCTATATGCTCCTGGATGCACATGGCACACATACATACACTCAGGCACACCCGCATACTAAATTAGTCAATTAATCTAAGAAGTTGACACTTCTAGTTATAACTTTCCCTAACCTCTGACCTGCAGGGTAAAAAATAATAATAATTAGATAACACTTCTTTTTTAATAGCACAGCATTGAAACCCAGTTATGTTTTGTAAAACTTTCTTCCTTGACTGTGGAGCATGAGGTCTGTCTGGAATAATTTCTTATTATTTAATATGACCTGGCACCTAACACAATGCCTAGCAAAGAACAGACACTGACTTCAGCCTCTAGTAGCATTAACCAGCTAAGGGGCCTCATACACGTCACTCAATACTTGCCATGTTCAATGATCTCGTTAAAGTGCCTGCAAGCCCTCTCCCTGCAAAAGAAAATCTAAATGCTAACCTATTCCACATTACTGAAGAAGAGGAGCTGGCAAAGGCAAGAAATGAAACAGGAGGGATTAAATAACAGCATAAACCTCCTCCTGTTAACAGGAAGTGGTGGCACACACCTGTAATCCAGCAGTCAGGGAGCTGAGTCAGGAGGATCATGAGGACCAGTGCAACCTGGGAAGTATAGCAAGATTCTGAACAAACTAAATCCTCATCTTATAACATGAGGCATCAGGAAATGCAATAGAAAAACTTTTAAAACCTTCAAGCTAAAAAACAAACAAACAAACAAAAAGCATACAATAGAAATGACATGATGCCAACAGGATAGAAACTCTAATCAGTTTTTGAGAGTTCTGTTTGATTAACAGAATAAAAAACAAGTTTCACTATAAAGGATCGGTAAAGACAGAGGATGAGTGTAAATGAGCTAAAAATGACCCTGTTCTACATAATGGTGGGTCACAGCCAAAAGATGGCATTTTCATGGTTTGCATCTACAATTCCCCCAGAGATGAGTGCTGTTTGAGGCTATGAAAGCTTTAGGAAGTGGCCTGGCTGGGAACTCTGTCTCTGGGTCCTTTGAGATAACATAGCCAGCCCCTGGCTCTTGGCATGCTCTCTGCCTTCTGGTCCACCTTGATCTGAACAGCCCCTGCCACACACTCTTGCCATGATGCCTCCCACCCACAATGCACTGGGACCTTCTGAAACTCTGGGAAAATAAAGAAAAACAAAACACCTTTCTTCCACTAAGCTGTTTCTAACAGGTGTTCTGGTCATTGTGACACAAACTAATATAAACACTATGTAATAGTGATTTTTACTGGAATGAGCAAAGAACACTGACAAGAACTAGGAGGAAGGGTAGCAGGGACAGGGGTGGACCAGGACATATATTATTATGTGTAACACAAAGTTTCAAAAGTGTTATCCCATCAAAAGTGGGCTTTTGATGGATGTCAAAACCTTTGTGCCTCTGTGAAAGTGCCTAGAGTTGCCCTGCAGGAAAATGAAGGCCACAGAGTTCTTCCTAGGTACCGGGCTGATCTGTTTGATACCCTGTAGACTTTTAGTAATTTACACCACCAGGCATCTAATTGTCAGTGCTTCATCTCTTCACACATCCTTTTACCTGTGAGCTCCTCCTTATGCCCATCAGGGGTGTCTAGGACATTTGACAAGTTTCAATGATGTGCTAATTACAACAACTTTGCCAGCTGTGCCACTGGCTCCCACCTTCCCAACCAAAACCCAAAAGCAAATACTAAAGGCACTCTGTCTCATTTTAAGTCTAGAGATCTAACGTGTGGGTACTCTGAGAGACACTGGATGTTTTCCCATCTGTTTGCCTTTGAGACAGGGTCCCCTTGGCAGCTCAAGGTTACCTGAAACTTGAAGCTCCCTCTTTAGCTCAGGCTAGTATTAAACTTGTGGTGATCCTCCTCATTAAGGCTCTCTAGAGCTGGAATTACATGAGGCACCATGCCCTACAATAAATTTTAGCAGCTTTGTACACAGACACAGGCATAGGCGAGTGCACGCACGATGGGAAAGAATAACTGTATAATACATAGTTTAATTTCCCTACCTTGCTCTTTATATATACCCTGTAATATCATGTTATATATTATAAAAATAAAGAAAAGATACTTTTAAATATATACATTCATTTCACTCATTCATTGTTTTCATTCATTTATTCAGTCTGTAAGTATCCATGGAAGCACACAGTGAAGCACACAATGCATTAAATGGTGTAGGATCTTAGAAAGAGAGACAGAAGCTAACAATTCAAGGAGAATGCAACCAGTGCTCAGCAATGACCACCATACAGTGGTCAAGTACAAGAGAGACGTGAGCAGAGGTCCCGCAGAACCAAGTCCTCAGCCTGGAGGAAACTAGTGAAGCATAAGCCACAGATACTCTAGATTTGTGCAGGGGCCTCACAGAATCTAAAGAAGGGGGGGGGGGGGGGGGTGAGACCAACTGAAGACGCAAATGCCTGAGTGATGAAGACTGCCTAGAAAGACTACGGCAGGCAGGAGGCATCTTCCAAACTTCCAGCGAAGAAATAGTCTGTCCATAACAGTCACAGTAACAGAAAATGCTACCTCCAGCTTTGGATAGTCCCTAAATGAGAGAAATTTTATTTAACATTCATTTAAGCAGCAAATGTTTTCAAACATCTTAAGTTTCCTGAAGCTGCAGCAACACAAATATGCAAGCTCTGTGCCCTGCAACCACAGAAGGCAGGGGTGAGATGGGGTGAGAGATACCTGCTGGTGTCTTAAAGATTACAGTAGCAACGTGACCACTGTTGTGATGATGGTCAGGAAGGAGGCGTCCTTTTCTAGGAACACTTGACTTGTTCTATTGCTGCCGGGATGATCTAGGCCAGAATGCAGTTTTGTATCAGCAAATCAAATGGTCACTCTGCTGAACTAGTGGTTGTCCCTAATTCTGGCCCTGCATTTCACAAAGATCTCCCTGATGTAATCCACCATCACTCCAGATTCCATCTATAGGTCTACCTAGTAGAAGAGAAGACAATGTTCTGGTGGATATTTCCTACATGACTGGCTTGCTAATTTGCATGTCATTCACTGAGGGTCAATGATAGCTAGGAAGAAAAGCTAATTATGTTCTGTCATCTTCAAGTCTGACCTAAGAGAGCTAGAGCAACAGATCATGACTATTTACAAGGACCACTTAAGTAGCCTAGTCATCTAGAGCCAATGAGATAACGGATGCTCACTGGCAATAAATAGACTCAGTCATCCTTGGAGGAGCCATAAAAGTCAATCACCCTGTACACAAGGTCCTTAAAAGCCAATAGAGTTCTACAGGGAGATATTTAGATTTAATGCTCTTAAAAGAGAAAGGTCTCCACAGAAGGCCCAGAGTGGCTCAGACTCAAGGCAGCCTGATCCCATAAAAGGTAAACCTCAGGAGCCTGCCTTCTGTGCTGGCATCTCTTGGGTCAGTCTGGCATGCAGGGTGCTGTGCTGGGCTCAGCAGCGCTTCCTTCTCCTGGCCACCTCTTGGAAAGCAGTGTCTGGGCCTGATGGCATCAATCACAGCCTGGCTGTGCCACACTCAAAATCCAAGTGGTTGAACTTTAACGGAAGTGGGGGTGGGGTGGCACAGAAGGCTGTTAACTGAAACCTTGGCCGAGGAGCTGATAAGCATTTGTTTCTTTTCGCAAACCCAACCATGTCCCACAGCTCCACCAGCAGTGGGCAAACACAAGAGCAACTTTCCCCTAAGTTGACCTACAAAGAACCCAATGTAAATGTGTTGCAGAGCTGAGGACAAAGCATGATTTCACCCTCTGAATGTTCATCTAAATGTCAAGCACAGAAAGTTCTTTCTAGCTTCAACAGGAGCTCAGGCTATGCAAACAACAGATGGACCCGGTACATAGCTGACCTGTCCCTGAGTTACACACAATTGTGAGGCCTCTGTTTCCATCCTTCCCAAATCTCAGGTGAATTCCTCTAATTCTAGAAGCACACTTTTCCTTCTTCAGGAAAACTAATTAAATCTTGTGCAGTCAGGCAAATAATAGACACCATTTCAATTTCCTCACGTGTTCAGAGTGAAGCAGGTAATTTTTTAGACACCTTCCCCAGAAAAAGCAGTCTAAAGCATATGACTTTTTAAAAATAAAATCATTTGTTACATGTGAGTGACAATTCCCCTTTTGTGGCTTCGAACATAAAAGTGACTTTGCTGAGGTCTCAACCCCAGCTGCACACCAGGCAAATAAGATGGTTTATTAAAATAAACACAGCAGGGAGCTTCAGAGCCAACCCATGATCTCATTGTTAATTTCCACTGTTTCTTGGGCTTTCCAATAGAAACAGTCAACCCTACCTTTAATTGATTTAATTTAGAAAGCAATTTAAGATTTAAAACTAAATCCTCACAACCATGATTCAGTGTCATGGATTTATTTGACTTCATACAAATTGAATTTTGTACTTGTACTATCTTTCTGGCTAAAGGCTATTTATATATTAATGTATTTCCTAATACTCAGGATCCTAAAGAACTCATCTAAGGAATCACACAGGTTTATCACAATAACCACAGGTAGGGTGTGCAGCAAGAAACAATATATATATATAATATAAAT